GAGAGAGAGAGAGAGAGAGAGAGAGAGAGAGAGAGAGGGGGGGGGGGGGGGGGGGGGGGGTCGTTATTAGAGGAATAAGCACACAGAGGAATCAGTCACTGCTAGATAATTGTGGTACTGTCTGAAAGGCTATCAGTAGCCAAACCCTAGTGATCCATCAGGGGGCATTCATCTTAGCTGGAGTGTGTTAGTGGAGCATGACAGACGTCCTGTGAAGGCAAAGAAATAACGCCCCAACTGTGTAGGCTAAAGCATTCAAATCAATAAAACAGAGGCAACTAGCAGGTCTTAATAAAACATCATAATCCTTGGATGTATTTATGTCTTCCCTAATGTGTCCTGACTGGGCTTGTGTGTATATAAATGGACCTGAAATGATGATTTAGCCTTGGACAAATCCACCAGGATATTATTCTGAATCAATGTGCTGTGAATAATTCATGTAGATTTACCAACACTGGGGTTGGGCTTTGCTCTTTCCATTAATGGATCTGATACTATTCATAGAACCAACATATTGTGATATTTTGTCACGCTCTGGCTCCGGGACTGTATATTTTGAGCCAGGGTGTGTTCATTTGGTTGTGTTGTATTTGGTTGTGTTTCATTGTTTGGTCGTGTGACTCCCAATCAGTGGTAACGAGTGTCAGCTGTCGGCTCGTTATCTCTGATTGGGAGCCATATTTAAACTGTCATTGTTCACCTTGGGGTTGTGGGTTTTTGTTCTATGTTCAGTCGTTGTCACTGAGGACTTCATGATCGTGTTTTGTTTTGTATTCTCGTGTATTACATTAAAATCAATATGTTCGCTACCAACGCTGCGCTTTGGTCCTCCTCTCTCGTAGACGATCGTGACATATTTCTCAACTTAAACCCAATGGATATTTACTGCAATTTTACTGTCAATACTGAATCAAGTCAAAATGGGGGACTGCCACAGGTTCTGACTAAGAAAGACGAGTGCTGTGTATTGTAGTAGTAGACCAAGGTATATTAATGCTGCCTTTAAGTATTGAGTCATTTATCTTAAAAGGATGAAACTACAGAAGTGAACAAATAAGAACAGCAGGATCCCACATCAGAAATATGCAGTTTGTTACCAGTTCTCCGTTTAAATTCCATCTTCATTTAAAATAGGTACACACATAAATAAATAAAACATGTTTGACATATTATTTACAATCATACACAGATGAACAACCTGGTTGCCATGGTTACTTCAGCACTACACAGGAAACATTATTCACAATGCGAAAACCCCTACTAGGCCCTACCCCAGTTCAGTGGCTTTGGCACTGTTTACAACTAGAAGCCTATGTCTGTGTGTGTGTTATTTCCCCCCAGCACCAGACTGAACATGAAAATTAACATTCACAAATTAAGTACACGCCTCCTACAAGGTCACATGTTCATAATTGTTAATAATTGTTCATAAATGCACTCACAGCCCCCTACAGTTAGCTGCTTATAGCCAGCATACTGGAAACTGACAGTGCTTTCTGGCATTCCCTTGCTGATCAATCAGCAGGGAGAACAGTAAATTGAAAGGAAGGAGTAATTAAAACATGCTATTGCCATTCTACATCAGCTGTAAAAACGATGTTAATATCTCATATAAGACTTTCTGTTGCAGTGCAGTGGAAGCTGCTGAGGGAAGGACGGCTCATAATAATGACTGGAATGGAGAGAATAGAATGGCATCAAACACATGGAAATCACGTGTTTGATGTATTTGATACCATTCCACCCATTCTGCTCCAGCCATTACCATGAGCCCGTCCTCCACAATTAAGGTGCCACCAACCTCCTGTGGCCCCACAATGCTATTGCTTAAAAACACAAATGAGCATGAATCTAGCACACACTGGTTGGTTCTAGAATGGTTATGAGAATATTTTCAGCTTGGCTTCTCTTTTCTTCCCCTCAGGTTAAGAGGCCATGACAGTACAGTACATAGGGGAATACTATTGGGTCATCGTCAATAATTGTACTCCCAAGGCATCCTTCAAATTTGACTGATATCCTACTTAAAGATGCAGTCTGGGATCTTTAGCACAAAAAAAGAATGATGTTTACATGACTTAACATATCATACGAAATGGATGACGTAGTACACAGTTGGATGAAGTAGTGAACCAAAAACAGCACCCGTTTTGGCTCGTGAGCACCACTTTCAAAATTACTGAAATTATAGAAAGGTTCCGGAGCATCACTTTAACACACGAATTTGACAGCTACATTCTCATGGATAGGAAGGAATCTTTTAAGACAATAAATCTCTACAAAATAACCAATTTATTGTATTGAGAGAGAGAGAAGCTCTGTCTGTCACATTTTCTCATGTTACACTGGATCAAATCTAATCTCCTAAAGGCATCGCTAGGGTTGTCAGAGAAGTAAATATGGCATTTTGGATAAAGGAGATACCAAAATGTCAGTGCTAATATATTCCTAAGAAGCTTACTAGAGAGGAAAATCCTCTCCCTTGCAAGGATGCTTTCTTTATGAACATAACGCAATTTCACTTAGTTCTCAATTACTGGCATTTAAAAACGTATTTTCAACATGTATTTTTATGTTTTGGGTTGGCAAATAGGGGGCCATAGCATCATATATCACAACGTTGAATGGGAACATAATCACGATAGGACAAAGGTTGACATCCCCCAACCCTATTATGAACATAAAGCAATTTCATGTAGTTCTCCATTTCTGCAGACTTCACTGGATCTAAAAGACTGACATTGAGGGTGGATTTAAAGTAAATCTGCCTCAATGTTGTACGCATAAGTGATTTACATTGAACATTAGTTGGTTATTTTGTGCTTGTAAAGTAGACATTGGAACAGTACATTTTGATATTTCTCCAAAGCAACATTAGAATAGTCTCCATTTGGAGCAACTAGTACCATATAGTCTAACCAGACAGAATAGCTATGCAGATGACAGTAGGTAAGAAGAACCCTACCTTGTCTTTTTGCAGAATGGCTGAAGACATTTTGTAACACATAGAAAACATCAATGTAGCTAAACAGCTGCCACATCTTAAAACACTCTACACTCAACCATCTTCCATTTGAGGGGGATGTTAAGACTTGTGTAAAGTGCTGTATCTGAGAGGGAGTAGAGTAGCAGTACAGGGGTTCGAGCTGCTCTCAAACTGCCTGTCCTATCGAAAACACAGCATGAGACAGCATCCAGGCATTTGCAGCTCTCCTGTACACCTCAGTGTTTAAAATGAAGTGTTTAACAAGAAGCATTTGTAGTTGCTTTCCCTTTGAATGATGGTGCAGTCCATCATGCATTTGAATGACTGCTGCATATACATTCAGAATGACTAGAACCCTGCATTTGAGTGTCTCTCCCTAAGCACACAGCTTTCAGATGGTGAAACACCTATTTGGTTATATGGGTTGGGACGCAATGATCAGAGAATGGCAAACCACCAGTGTCAGTGCATTCCATTGTTCAATAGTTGGCCCCCCGTGGGAAACGAACCCACATCCCTGCCGGCCAAACCCTTCCCCTACCTTGGACAACGCTGGAACCAATTGTGCACCGCCCATGGGTCTCCCTGGTCGCGGCCGGCTATGACAGAGCCTGGACTCGAACCAGGATCTCTAGTGGCACAGCTAGCACTGTAATGCAGTGCCTTAGACCACTGCGCCACTCGGGAGTCAAGGTTTTAAATCCACCAGGCCCTTAACTTCTCGGGGCATACAGTACAGGGACTAAAAGACTTGTTCACCTCACCAAAGAACACAATACATGTGAGGGGACATGCAGAGAATAAGATCAGACAACACAACTCTATAATCAACCATTTACACCGGTTCAATTTAGCTGGCAGGAATGTTATTCTAAAGACACATTTTCGGCAGTTCAGTCTACCTTCAGAAGAAGCTGAGGGAATCCAACCCAAACAAAGCAGGTAGGTCTACCGCATACATGGGGTTTTCAGTAACATTAATTAATTATTCACACTGATAACCCAACCACTGGCTGTTTCAGTCCCACAGATAGTCAGTTAGCATTATGGTGTAAATGCATACTGCCACATGGAGTGTGTCATTTGAACAGGTATAAAGCAAAGGTTGGCGATGTACTGCCACCTGCAGATATGGAATATTTGCGTATAAGTATAATTCATTGGTCGATCCCTCATGTCCCAGATGGAATCATGTGAACCTTCCTTAACCAATAGGAAGTCCCACCCAGTTGACTACTTCAACAATTTTTTAAGTCCTCAATGGCACTGCCCATGCTAAAACGGGCTTTTGGCCACTAGAGTCCTCTATCTGGGGTATCCCTACAGTGTAAATACTACAGTATGCCATCTAACCAGAGAGAAAGGAAAATAAAATACTGAATCTGGGTTTTAAACAAGTTCATGAGAGGAAAGAAATACCAGACAAACACTTTAATACAAGAGTTCGTCAATCTTCACATGGATTAACAATAACAGACAGCAGCATTGAGGTGCTCAACATGCAGAAATCTTCATGTTATGGACAACATTTTTATTTTATTTTTTTCATTTAACAGACGCCCTTATCCAGAGCGACTTACAGTTAGTGAGTGCATACATATATTTTTTTTCATACTGGTCCCCCGTGGGGAAACGAACCCACAATCCTGCCGTAGGTTTAGTGTAACTTGCTGGCTGAGTTTCACCCATGTACAAAAGCAGACACACACACAGTCCACCACTAGTAACTCTGAATGAAGACAAAGCACAACCATGTAGTTACACATCCTTCACATCACATGCAGAGTAAAGTCACGTATCACAGAGCTCTCATTCCACATCCTCTTGTACCACATTGATCAAGCGCTACATTTGAAGCACACTTATGTAAAGTATATGGTACGGTCCTCTGTAGCTCAATTGGTAGAGCATGGCGCTTGTAACGCCAGGGTAGTGGGTTCGATCCCCGGGACCACCCATACGTAAAAATGTATGCACACATGACTGTAAGTCGCTTTGGATAAAAGCGTCTGCTAAATGGCATATTATTATATCTCCAGAAATAAAAACAAGGAGGTCCTCCATGCAGTCCTTCATTGAGATAGAGAGACCTGAAGCGCAATGTTGTTGTTCAGCATTAAACATTCTGCCTCACACATCCCTCCCAACACACCAATACACCACTCCCTTCCAGAGCAGCAGAAAGCTTTATCCATCATCCTCATTCATACCTCAGGGCACAGCAGGATCTACAGCAAACAGAGAGAGCGAGAGAGAAAGAGAAGCAAAGCAACACTAGATTTACACCATACTGCTAACAATGTCCTTCAGGTGATGTTGGTTCCTTGTTAATCCGGCTGACACGGGGGTATTGGCGGATCTCCTCCAAGCCTGCAGATGTTCAGTGCGTGCCGCTACCTTGGCAGGGCCCGTACTATCCAGCATGCCTCACAGAGGCAGCCTGGCGAGCCTTTCACGTTGCGGAGGAGCAGTGAGTCCGAGTGGGTGGGGGTGGAGGTGAGATTCGATGTGATGTGGCGGTACGCTGTCTGCTTGTTCTCTAGTGCCTGTACTGTAAACATAGAGACCCGGGAGGAAGAGGGGCTAGGGCGGACCCCCACCCCACACCCTTGTCGTTCCCCTTCCTCTGGAGGGGGCGGGGCCAATCACTCACTTCCCCAGCCGCTGCTCACAGGAGGCGTAGCGCTGCAAGGCGCTGAATAAGTCCTCATAGGAGACGTCCACATGGGAGGGTAAGGAGCTGCAGGAGAGAGGGAGGATGTTAGAGAGATATACTACAGAGAGACACTTCTGGAGTGATGAACAGAAATGTCATCATGTTACATTAGTTAAAAGGCTCACTCCAAATACAATGATGCACTTTACTTTACTGATGCTTAAAAAAGCTAATGTCTAAAGCAGTTACAGCACTATACGGCCATCTAGTGTTCGATGGAGGTCAAGGCCCAAAATGTCCTTGCAAATCATAGAAAATGATTGGGGACTCTAGTGCCCAAAAGCCAGTTTTAGTATGGGCCGCGCCATTGAGGACTTTCACCATTTTGAAGTAGTCAACTGGGTGGTACTTCCTATTGGTTAAGGAAGGTTCACATAATTCCATCCAGGTCATCAGGAGGAATCAGCCAATGAATTAAACTTGAGCAAATATTCAATAACTGTAGGTGGCAGTATGCACCCTTTCAGTTTGTTAACCAACTCATAGAAATAGTAGAAGAAAATTGACGACTTCAAAATGGAGATGGCCTCAATGGTAATGCCTGTTCAATGGTAATGCCTGTTCGCTCACAGATGAGATAATGTAACTTTCTTTATTGCGCCAAATGATGGAAACTGTTTTTCGATAAATGATGATTGCCAAATCATTTTGAAGGTACACGAGGCATGTAATGTCACCACGTAACTATAAATCTCCACTCCACATTTAATTCTAAATGCCAACTAATTGCAAAATAAAACATTTCAACTATAAAATTGCTTCTTTGCAGGACAAGGATTGTCCTGACTTTCAAGAATGCCTGAATTGCTTCGCCTTGCTTTTCTGGTATGCTGGCAAGTTTCACCATCCAATTATTTCAGATCTACAGGAGTGCAAGTTTCACCATGGCACGGACCGTGGCGATACTTTGGCACATGAGAATTATTCGAATATGGTAAATATTAGTCAATCATTGCATTCTATGCCTAAATGGGTAATGGAAACACTTCAACCACTACATTTTTATTCAACACTAATTTTATTTTTAGGTGTGACGCCATTACGTCCAACTATTTTTATCGACACAAGATAGTTAAATGGAAACGCACCCTAGCAAGCAATTGTCGCATCCATTTTCTATGAAGAAAAAAAATCACTGGACAAGTTAATCTCTAAAAATAGGATTTATGCAATTGTTAGTGATGCATCATCATCATCATCATCATCATCATCATCTGGCAACATCTAACTGCACATCTTATGAAGGCTGAACTGCAACATTTCCTCTCCATTTCCACTATCCTTTAAATAGCACTGCTATTTATACTGGGTTGCACAGAAGCGTTTTAAAAAGCCTTGCCAATCTGTCAAGCCAGGAGATAAATTAGGCAGCAGAGACAGGTTTACCAGTTAATCTGCACAGATAACCACACAACAGGCCCATATCAATTATACTCAGGAGGTAAAGCAAAGGACACGCACACACAAACTCTCCCTCTCTGTCACACACACACACAAGTGGTTATGAGGAATCAGAAAGGAACCTCATTGTCATTCGTGTCCAGCTCTTCAGAGCAGCGGCTATCCCAGCGCTCTTCTACACGAGTGAGGCACCCTTACCTAACGTGTGTACACACACACACACTGTACAATACTCACATGAACTCTGTCAGTCTGATGTGCCAGGGCAGGAACCCCAGGGTGCTTTCTACTGGGCCGAACTTCAGAACCAGGTCTGGATCTGGTGTACTCTTCGATTCTGCACATAGAGACAGCATGGAGAGAGGTCAATGGAACAACCAATCACTGGAAATTCCAAGCCCCATAGATACTGACTGTGCTGAGGAACAGCTGTACTCACTGGCCCTGAGTGGTAAACACACCATAACTTCACTGTACACTACACTGGATTTGATTGGACTCAACTCAACTGCACTGAAGTGAACTCTGCTATCCTCTGTAGTTTATATTATGTCTGGAGACCATATTTCTCATGAGTTTGTTCACATTTCTGCCTTCGGTCTCATCCATCACCTTCTACAAGAGTCTGTTTTGATTAGTGAGTGCAAACGGAGGTATTCCACTAAAGTAACGGTCCTGTGATTTACAGCTAGTGATGGTGATCAGTCTTAGCCAGCGGCTAACGATGGGCCAGGGCGGGCAGAGGGTTCAGGTCAAAGAACCCACTTTGAGAGAGGAGCTCTCTGGCACAGACTCCGAGTGCTTCATCTTCCCTTCATCTTTTGATCAAACACTGTTGGAGCTGCTCTAACAGGGGGCTCCTTGACATTTACCCCATTTCTTCCCTCCATCCTTCCTGAGCTTCAAATAAAGTGAAATTGCTACTCTGAACATCATGCCAAAGGAGAGCTGGTGAGCTAAGGGTCACTGTCTGTACTCCAGCTTGTAATAGTTTGGCACAGATTAATAGCAGATTATTTAAAGTCTATGATTAATACTGATATGATCAATATAATGTCTATGGGTTTTATCCTGAAGATAAAGCAATTAAATAAAGGTGTTGTCCACAGCCAATGAATAACAATACACTAAGGACACCAGTAAGAACCAATGGCATGTCCTCCCCCTGATCTTGGGGCAGGGGCCTCCTCCTCCTCACCTCTGAGTAAGGAGTCCAACACAGTGACGTTGATGTCTTTGGATGTCTTCTCCCTCTGCTCCACAGCTCTACACAGCTGCTGTGCTGCCTGCACGATCCTCAGCTTCCCATCGTCTGGAGACAGCACCTTCAACAGAGACTGACACAACACCACTGTGGACACAGAGGAATACAGTCATAATGAGCCCCACAAACACACATACTGATACTCAGACTCACACATCACAATAATCATACCAATCAATGGTAAACGTGTCAGGTGTCTGTTTGACTGAAGGTGGGTGGGAATTCCTGCTTTACAATCCTTTAATATGACATTTATGGATTACAAAACAATTGAATAACAGGAACATAGAGATACTATAATTAATAGGTTATACAAGTGAATTATAGGTTCTCTATGAACAGGAAAAACAAGAATTCCTTGGTGAAGAGAATTATTCTGTGTTGTGTTCCTTTACAACTCCATATGGTCTGTGTGTGTGACGGTGTGTCATAACAGATTGACTTGCTCAGGGGAGAATGGTGTAGTTGCCAACAGCAAGTAAGACTACACAATAGAATAGATCTTAATCAGTCAATATAGGCTGGCTGCAGTCCACATGCTCTTCAATAAACAAATGCCACAGATAATGCAATCATGCATTCAAGCCTAGTGGAATTGGAATCCATTAAAAAATACAGTTAACTATAATATTTGTAATCAGTTTCAAACTTCATTCAATAAGTGACGATGAATTGTGGATATTGCACTCCAATTAAGCCTTGCAATCTAAATTGCCCTAAAGGGTTTCATATATTATTTAGTATCCAATAGAATTTAATTGATTATTCATACTACACATGGCAGAATTCTGAATGCTTCTCTGTTCTCTTCTCGGTTGTAGCCCGTCTAGTGTTTCTGGTGTAACCAGATTATGGCATACTGCAGTAGTAGCAACAACGGAGAATAGCAGAGAAACCACAGGGCATGTCCCATTGTTCCAGGTGTCTTTTCAGGGGCCATATCAAGCGTTGAGTAGGTGTAGGAGTGCTGATTTAAGATCAGTTTAGTGCACTGTTTCTTAATCCTGGTCCCGGGGACCGAAAGGGGTGCACATTTTAGTTTTTGCCCTGGCACTCTGGGCTCTAAATTAATATATTTTATTGGTAGCACTGGTGCTCCTAACTTAGAAAAGTTAGGAGCACCACATAAAAGTTAAGTTAAAATAGATGTTTAAATTGATGGATATAGCCTATATTCGGCCTATATGAATCCTACTTACATTTGAAGCACATCTCCTGAAGGAGGAAGATGTGCTCAGATGATTCAGAACATGCCATTGTATAAACATGCTGATCTACACCACCACTGATAGCAACCTATATTAGAGTTAACATTTACTTTGCCCTAGCGGATTTAGCTAAATGGCATTTAGTTAGCGATTAACATTATTTTAAGCACATGCCAGCTTCCTTTTACATGCTGAGCAGACCACGTGCATGTTGATTTTGACCACCCACACCGGATGCGATCAGGACACGCAGGTTGAAATCTGAACCAACTATATTAATTTGGGGACAGGTCGAAAAGCATTACACATTTACGGCAATTTAGCTAGCTAGTTTGCTGTTGCTAGCTAATTTGTCCTGGGATATAAACATAGGGTTGTTATTTTACCTGAAATGCACAAGGTCCTCTACTCCGACAATTAATCCACAGATAAAAGGGTAAACCGAGTTTGTTTCTAGTAATCTCTCCTCCTTCAGGATCTTTCTTCTTCTTTGGACTTTATATGGCGGTTGGCAACAAACTTTAAGTTTCATTACCACCACCAACTGGACTGGAGTGTGGACCTTAGTTCATCTTTCAATCATGATGTTGTGGAGTACCGCTTTAGACGAGCCCTCCTAATCTGAGATGCTTGATACATACGGCCCCTGCTGTTCAGTGTTCAAGTGTCTCACCTTGATGGTCCTGTTTATCAGTGCCATTGTTAAGGAACTCCACAGAGAGCTGCTTGGAGCCTTCTAGACCTAGGAGCTCCTGCTGCTGCTTCAGGATCTCATCCATCAGCCTGGAGTTGTTCCTCCTGAAGACACCTGGGAACCAAAAGGGTCATGGCTAGAAGGGATCCATTTTTTGACAAATTAACATCACATTTTACTTTTCGTAGCAGGTTAGGAGAACTTACGCAGCAGCTTAGGATAATTAACATAGCAGGTTAGGAGAATAAGGTTAAGGTTAGGAAAAGGGCTAGGGTTAGCTAAAATGAAGAAAGAAAAATCTGCTTTTGATATTAATTTACAAAAGCTGGATGCCTTCTTGCCATGACCAACCAAAAGGGATATGCAAACAATCCAATAGGGATATGTTATCTGTTGGGAGGGAGGGGGGGAGTTTCAACCTCTCAGTGGGGGTTAGGAACATTGGGCACATCTGAACTCAACAACTGAAAGATGAGAAAACAAGAAGATCTGCAACCTTTCAAAACTGAGATCTAAAATTAACATCATAAGTCTAGTAATTAGGGGGGAATAATGCGTCATATGCCAGATTTGGCTGTAAGAGACTGATGACACAAGTCAGCAGACATTGAGGAACCACACAGCACTGAGAAGGCCCTCAAGAAGGCTTAAACAATATTTTTTTTAAACTAGCATGACCCAGTAAGAGTGGCTGTGGTGAAGCAAGAGCAGGAATACTGCGTGTGTGCAACCTTTCAGTTTAGCCAATTCCCTCTAGGCTCAAAGAATGGGTGAAAAAGCCATAGGGCAAACCTTGAAAGCCTATTGAGAGTCGAGACCACTAGTTGAAATCATATTCTATAATTAGCTATACAACATTGTTACAGTTGATAGAAAATAAAAGTATTACACTCCAGAGGTTTCTCTAATGACAAGACATGCCATATTGGGAAAGAGGGAAGGGCCCAAAGACAATTTATAAACTGGGTGGTTGGAGCCCTGAATGCTGATTGGCCGACTGCCGTGGTTTATCAGACCGTATACCACGGTATGACAAAACATGCATTTTCACTGCTGTATTTACAAAACATTTATTTTGACTGCTGTAATTACGTGGGTAACCTGTTTATAATAGCAATAAGGCACATCAAGGGTTTGTGATATGGCAAATATACCATGGCTAAGGGCCTTAGCATTGGTATATTGGCAATATACCACACCCCCTCGGCCCTTATTGTTTAAGTAAGCACCAGGAATATGAGCTGTGAATGGATACTGGTACAGGGTAGTATTATTACGTCTTTCACACTGAAATGAGGGGCAGAGAGACGAGACAGAGACATAGAAGGCCTAAGCAGATATGGCACAAGTAAGCGGTTAGATTTCTGAAAGGGAAGAAGGCTGGGTAAAGCTATTTAACTATCAGAATTTGTTAGATACCTAGGTAACAGTTATCCAAGATAACTAACAAAGTACCATGAATAGGAAAGTTCACCATTCGCTGATTACAAGCTAATCAAAATAATGGCTGGCTGGCAAGTGTCTGCACTGCAGCGCACGTTACTGTCTGCTGATGCTGTATTTATCAATACTTCCTGGTGTCATTTATTACAAATTAAATAACTAAGAAATAAAATCAATGATCTTACCGTAATTATCGTACACACTGACATAAGATATGCCGACTGCCATGCACCACACGACAAGGTTGGCGATATCTGTGTACCGTGGCTCCTCTTCCGCTATCAACAAGCCGATATGGTCAGGCAGCTTCTCCAGAGATTTCCCATCCGCCCCCCATCGATACCGACGACCAACGCGTTTACCGGGTGCTGGAACTAGCTTTTTTTGGTTAGGAAACGAGAGAGCTATCGGCACAAGAAGCGCTGTTAAGGCTCGTGACCACAGTTGCCCATTCCAATTCCGAAGACGGATTCGGAACCAAGTGATAAGCGTTCTATGAATGTGGAGAAGGACATGCAGAACCCGCCACACGAACTCGTAAACGATTGCCATTATGCCGCCCTTCTTGACGAAATGTTATAATGATCAGGTATGTATCGAGCTTTGCATTTCAAGTCTAGTTATGATGGATACACACTAATCTACTCCTGTGAGTCATTTAGCTTAATGCCAACACCTCAGCTTGCCGGCTGCCATCTTCATCCAACCTTTACACTCTGAACCCGGAGGATACACGTAGCTCACTGATTGGACGATTCAGCAAACATGAAATCACGCGAGAGCTACGTAGGGTTGTTCTTTTCTTCTTCTATGGAATATTGGCGATCACACAATTGAATGTGCATCCCACCACCTACTATGCGGGATGGAAACAGGATTCCCCCCAAAAACTGAGCAAACTAACAAAAAACGTACAAAAAATAAATAATATAAATCAAACAACTTTTCTGTTAAAAAATAAAATATCTGATCCCTACACAGGCTCAAGGGGAACCTGGGAGGGCGGGTCTTCCGACGCCAGTACCCCTTGCAAGTCTTTAGATGTAAAGTCCTTAAGTCCCAAAAACTTTTCTGCCACAGCCACAATACTGTCCAGTTTCTTAGACTTCTTTGAGACTTGTGCTGTACAGTTTATAAATGTGGCAATGAACGCAACAAAATCCACAAAAACATTTACTACAGGCTGTCGTGTACCATTACCAATTACCATATCTTCACTAGCATCACTTGTTTTCTCAATTCTTATAATCGCCTCCGCATAGGAGATTCGATTGACCGCTCTAACATTTGCCACCTCAATCTCCTTCACCCTTAGAGGGCACTCCAGAAACTCAGGATCATGATCCCCACCACAATTACAACACCGTCGTCCTTCTACACACCGTTCTTCAGTATACTCTGTTCGTCTGCACACACATGGCCAAATCCTTTACAATTCTTACACAGCAGTGGTTTGGGGACGAAAACTCTTACGGCGTATCTTACATAACCAAGCTTCACATGCGTAGGTATTTGCTCTTTATCAAAAAACAACAGGACCGACAGACTTTCTTATTTTTCCCCCATTCACCCAGCGGGTCAGACGCCGGTCACCAACAACACCTGGAATTCTCTTCAGGTATTCAACCTGAACATCTGTCGTCACCCCTGAGATGACTCCTGAAGTTCAAAACACAAAACTTATGTTGTCCAGATGCGTTTGAGGCCCACTGCAATCTGCTTATGCTCTTCAGAAATACAATTAATCTAAATAAGACCACTCCTGGTCACTCTGACAGACCCATACTTCACCATTTTCGACACCTCAAACGGGTTTCCCACAAACGCATCCCAGCAAGAAGCGATTCATTATCATTCACACACGTATCCTCCACTCCAATTTTAGACAATTTCCTTTTTGTTCCAATTTTCGATACTACAGTTGTCCATTCAGAACATTCGTCTTCACCAAATTTGCTCGACGCGCTGCTTGATTCGAACTCAGCATCCACGTCCGCCCGTCCCCTCAAACGCACGCCGAGGTACTCGGGTTGTTCTTTTTTGTCAGAAACTGGAGTTTTCCACTAGTTACCACAGCCACAAAGTCAGAATTGGCTATATTGTAAACATTCATTAACAAACATTAATACAAAAAATGTGCTGTTTGGGCTTAATTTAAAGTTAGGCACAAGGTTAGCAGTGTGGTTAAAGTTAGGCTTAAGGTTAGGGTTAAAATCAAATTTGAAGATACATTGTAGAAATAGGCGGGGTTTATGACTTTGTGGCTGTAGTAACTAGGGACGACCGAACCTAGAGGTAAAGTGCAGGCAGGTCGTCACTGCCACAAAGTCACAAAGTCACAAGCCCTGCCATTTCTACAACTTCTCTTCCTAAAATAGGATTTTAAACCTTCAAGTTTAATGTCACGTGTACAAGTACAGTGAAATGCCTTCCTTGCAAACTCTAAAGACAACACTGCAGGTATCAAATGTAGTACTAAAACATTACACAAGGTAGAACAAAAACACACGAGTAATACACATAAGAAATAAGAATACGAGAAAGTAAAAAGCTTTGATCAGGGTCAGTTCCAATACCATATTTATAATGTGCAGGGATACTGTAGTGATAGAGGTAAATATGTATAGACCTTACCCGTAACCTTAACCCTAACTTTAAATTAAAGACATAAAAGCACATTTTAGATTTTATGCATTTTATAGACAATTTTGACTTTGTGGCTGTGGAAACCGTGCAGGTCCAGCACCCTAGAAGTCCAAGTCGGTAATTATCAGTAGCTTGTATTTATTTGTCTGTGGTTTGTGCAGTGTACATAACACTTATTTATTTTTTTGAGTATCAATTAAGATTCTGCTATTAAATTCAGCACAAAACACACACACACACAAAAGTAAGGCTTATCCTATAGCAGATTATTAGCATCTGTTTGTGCCAAGTAAATGAAAACTGTAATGATATACTTGTTTATTTATTATTATGGTATTATACATTAGGTATTGAAGGTCTATTCTACATATACCTATTTACCTATGTATATTGCAGTGGCTGTTAATACAGTAGTTCAATGTTTTTCTATAGACTACGCAGCTGAAGGTAACTTCCTTAGCATTAATTGCCAAACTACAGTTATACATGTTAAAACATTCAAAAGACAAAAAATACTCAGTATGTTCAGCTAAACATGAAATGCCTCTGCTACATCTATTTTCTCCATCTACGAATCATAGTCATAATACTCCTCAGTGTCTGTCTGCTCCACTTGGTCCTCAGGTGCGGTTTCCGTGAAGTACTCCTCACATCTGTCCTGGGCCATCAGGTACGCTCTCCAGCTGTCCCCTGGCGCTCTCACAGGCTCATTACACAGCTCTTTAGGGATCTCCACCCTCCTGGCCAGCAGGGTCCTCTTGACCCCCAGGAGCTCACAGGTGCAGTTCCAGGGGTTCCCGTCTAGGTAGACGGTCCTCAGCCGGGGCAGCAAGTCCAGGGTGATCTGGGGGAGGGATGTCAGCTTGTTCCTCCTCAGGTTCAACACCTGCAGGCGCTTCAGGGACCTCAGCTCCTGCTCCTGGACGACCTCGATGCGGTTCCCTTTCAAGTCCAGGCGGATCAGACTCTCTGGAAGCCTGCCAGAGAGACATGTCAACAGAACAGTGGGCAGTGGCGTCTGCTCTCACCAAAAGGCCAAAGGAGTCACATTTAAGATGTGTTTATCTATCTATCGTCTTGTGGTTTATACTCAAATATGTTTAACCAAAGACCTACAATGTGGTTAGGCTGCTATTCTACCAATATATTGTACAAAGATTATTGTACAAATGAGTAATACTCAAGTGAATGTACAACACATCTATAATGTATTTAATGGATTCATAAATATGATCCCAAATGTTAGTAAAGCACCATATCAAAGGGATGAAATACATACCCGTCTGGAATAGAGGAGAGGAGGTTCTGTTCCAGAGCCAGGTTGGTTATGTGAATGCTGTTCCTCAGAGCATTAGCTTCAAAGTTCCAGATGGTATTATTCTCTAGGAAGAGATGCTTCAGCTGTTTCATTCCAGACAGGTGCTGGAAGGTGACTTCCTGGATGGAGTTCTGTCTGCAGTCCAGTCTTTCCAGTTTGGGGCTCAGTCTACTGGGCAGTACCCTCAGGTGGTTTCCTGGCAGCTCCAGCACTGTGAGGTTGGGCAAGCGAAGGCCACCGTCCACAGAAACCAACCTATTGTAGGACGCAGACAGAGATTTGAGGTTGCGGAGTTGGCCCATCTCTCGGTTCCTCAGTGCTCGTATTTGGTTCCTGTCCAAGTTCAGGTAGGACAGGACATGAGGGAGATCAAGTGGGACTCTTGATAGGAGGTTCCCTGGTAAATGTAGTGTCGTCAAGGACTGTAGCGGTGTGAAAAAGGCTGAGGGAAAAGAGGGGATCTTGTTGTTCCCCAAGCTCAACAGATTCAGTTCGGGGAGTCTCAGAGCACCTTGCACTGTCTCAATTTGATTTCCATCCAGGTAAAGACACTCCAACTTCACCAGGGTGGAGAGGGTGTTGGAACGCAGGTTGGTGATCTGGTTATTCTGAAGATCAAGCAGGCGTAGTTTCTTCAGCCCCTCAAAGACAGACTCCTGGAGGCCTGTGATTCTATTGTGGCCCACATTGAGGGTCTCCAGGCTGGGTGGGAGACCACGAGGGATCTGATGCAGTTTGTTCTTCTGTAGATCCAGGCTTCTTAGTACCCCCTGAGCCCTGAGAGCATTGGCCTCCACCACCTCCACTCCACAGGATGAAAGGATCACTTCCTCCAGCCCTGTCAGGCCAGATATGTCTCTACCCTGGAAAGGACAAACATATCAGGAGAAGATGTGCACCATTATACAAACAATATGCTATAAATCACAAGTAAATCATCACTCAATAGTCTTTAAATCTAACTGATTTCCAAGCATTAATTACAAGATGAAAGGTCTGACAATGGTTTGATAGTGAATCCATTGTTACCAATGTCACTGATTATCGATGGTTATTATCAAATGAGCAATTCCACTCTTACCTTTAGTTGCTTGATGTGGTTGTATCCCAGGTTTAGTTTCCTCACATCTTTAGTGATTCCAGTGGGAAAAGACTGCAACCTGAAACACTGCACTGACTTTGCACTATCACACACACACTTCCTTGGACAAACATTGCTACAGATGCACAAGAGAGTATGCAATGTAATACTAGCCAGCAAGATCATGAGAAACCACATCATGAACATCCAGCCTAGTTGGGCATCTCAGTAAAAAAGAACAGCACTCCCTCTTACTCTGGGGGTTTAAATACCTCAGCAAGGATTATGTGGGTGAGAGTAGGTGCTTTGCTTCATTTGGAACAATGGCAGAGATGTTTATCTTGGTTAAAAAACAACATTTGACACCGACAAGGAACTGACACAAACAGTAATAGATAGCCCTTCTGTTTGCGGACGTGAGAAACTTGCTGATAAACCATTTACAACCCATTCAGTTAAACAAATGCAATTTCCTCCTCTGTCTATTTGAATACTCTGTCTGCCATTGGCTTGAAGGAGTTGCCATATGTTTTCTACTTATGTTTGCATGTTATGTTTTAAGATATGTTAGATTAACTACCTTAACCCTGATTATTGCATGCACGCGTGACTGTAAGTCGCTTTGGATAAAAGCGTCGGCTAAATGGCATATATTATTAGTAAAATGTAATACAGATTAGTGAACAACGACCACCAGTCTTTTAACTGATGGATTGCCTCCTGTAGTGCCACCCAGGGCATGTATATTTATCTCTCATGAACATTAAATCAAATATTTGTCTGATTATACCAACAACAATGGTGTGAGATGAGAGGGTAGCAAATACAATTAAAATTAATTATTTAATGCAAAAATTAGCTATGTAAAATATGTAGTACTGTCTGCATAGCCACTCACACCATGCCTACAATGACATATTAAATGTTTACACTCTCCAACAATATATTTAAGACACAGGGAGTTGCCAACAAAAACAAGAGTGGAAAGCAAAGCATTTAACCCCACATTTTTACGACAAAGGTAAAATAATATGTGCCACTGTCTGCCAGTGCAAGGAGGGCAGGAAACTGCCCCCAAGAACTCAACACAGATTGACTAGATATGCTATCGATTGCTTTTTCTCTGCTGTGGCAGACTGTTGTAGTCGATTCAAAGCTATGATCTGTATCCGATTACGGATTTCCTGGTAGGATTAGGGTTTGGGAAAGAACCAAATACATTTAATTTTGCTAGTCTTTTCTGAAAAGAAACTGTTTCGTATGATTAGGGCATTTAGAGTACGGTGTAACTCAATTATTACGACTCAGTAAACTTATACAGGGAGGCAGACACAAAGCGCTGTTTTTATTTGTGAAGGGAAGCGGTTTGTCAGCTAGCTAACGTTGGCTAGCTTTAGCTTTTAGCCTGCACTGTTGGACATGTCTGCTTCGGCCGGTGTCTCTCCGTCAGCCCAGGGCACGGCCCTGGTCAGTCCAGGCACGGGGATGTCCATGTTTCGGTGGCTTGATGTTTTGGAGAAGGAGTTTGACAAGGCATTTGTTGACGTCGATTTACTACTTGGAGAAATCGACCCAGATCAAGCTGACATCACATACGAGGGTCGTCAAAAGATGACAAGTCTCAGCTCCTGTTTTGCTCAGCTTTGCCACAAAGCGCAGACGATTTTTCAACTTAATCACAAAGTAGAGGTGAGCACAAACGTGTCTTGTATAAATGCTTAAAAGGATGTGCATGATCATTTGATATGTTAATAGGTATACTTATGCTGTGTAGGCCAACAAGCTAGCTCATAGTTAGCTAAATAGTTGTCAGAATTAGAATGTCCTCCAAGGCTCTCTCAATGCATGACAGTGCGTCTCTGCCCATCCAGTTGACAGGTCGAGGGTAGATGGCTCGACATGATCCCAAACAACAACTCCGTACTTTGTCCCTTCCTAAAAGTTTGAGATTGACCACCAGTATCAATATTTGTGTAACTTGTTGACAATCTGCATTTATGCTCTGGCACTTGACAGAATAAGAATTTGGCAACAGTACACACACACACACAATATTTGACAGCCACTTAGTTGCAAAATCTATTGATGAGAAAAACAGAAACAAGGATCATCCTGACCCATACTCCACCATGTATGACCTCACCATGCTCAGTAACCATTGTTTGGTCAGCTGTGTAGTTGACTCTGTCAAGACCTTCCCAGCAATTCTTATGACTACTGTAGAGCTCCTATTACTGCCTGTATGTAAATTGATACTGCATTTCAGCCTCTACCTTCAGTGCAGTATAGTGCTGAGGCCAGGAATTCTGGCTTTACACAACCAGTTGACACCCAACAACACTACAAAGTCATGGCCTAAGGGTATATGACGTGGCTAAAGTACACCAAATCTGTGGAAAATCCACTGATTGGATTTGTGAAATGCCTCAGTTTTCTGTCCACTGGTAACTGGCGTTGGCAGTGTGACCATTTACAATTATGCTAAGTTCTATTTAGAGAAAGTAGGTTAGATCTGTATTGTTACATTTTTACCTAGGCCTACATGTTTTCCACCTACCTAAGGTAGCTTTGAGATAATGATAGGTTGACACAATGGTCACATTACAGCAGGAAGGGCAGAAGCCCATGATAAACACATCTCAAAAGGCACCAATGCAAGGGGTAAGGGCATAGAAATGTAAAATACTGGAGCATGGGAAGTTCACAAATATTGTCAGATTCCACACCAGCAGACTGTGAGAATTGCCAGAACATAGAAACGTCATTAGGAGGAAAGATGTTTGAAATGCTTTTACATTTGTATCACAAACCATTGAGAAAATCATGAAAGTAAGTGGCCATTTTAGGCCTATACATGCCTCTTGTAAGACCCATGGATCGGTGAACCGTAGGCCTACATGATACACACATCTTGGTGTCATTATGCTCTAAATATAGATTGTCTTGATATTGAAATACAATTGAATTCATATATTCAACATCAAAAATATTAATCTCAACTACTGCCTTGGGAGAGGCTACTGCCACAGATCAGAGCTAGAATGGGTCTCAGGGTAGAGGCCACTGCCACAGATCAGAGCTAGAACGGGTCTCAGGGTAGAGGCCACTGCCACAGATCAGAGCTAGAAGGGTCTCAGGGTAGAGGCCACTGCCACAGATCAGAGCTAGAAGGGGTCTCAGGGTAGAGGCCACTGCCACAGATCAGAGCTAGAAGGGGTCTCAGGGTAGAGGCCACTGCCACAGATCAGAGCTAGAAGGGGTCTCAGGTAGAGCACTGCACAGAATCAAGCTATAAGGGGTCTCAGTGTAAGAGGCACGTGCTCCTATATCATCCTCCTAACTGGGAAGATGCTGGAAGGGCGTGGTAAGAGGGTTTGCCCTTTACAGCACCACAACTACCCTTTTTGATTTGGTTGATTTTAAGACCTTGTTTGGAACAATATACTCTACAAGTACATAATATTTCCAGAGTGGACTCTCTGCTAATTCTGAAGATGATACATTTTATGAGCACCACCAACACTGTGAATGGGAAAATGGATTCAAAGGGCTCTCCCACTGCTTGTGACTTTCTGAATGTGCAATCCTTAAGGAGGACTGTGATTGGTTAATGACTTGTAACGTCTATTTCTTTTTTTTTAATGGGTAATATCATTAAAAGTACCAGAGCCCACTCTGGAAATGTGATGTGTTTGAAGAGTATATTGTTACAAACACAGGGCTCTATGCTGACTTTTTTTTATTACAAGGAGCACGTGTGTGGCTAATTTGAAAAATGTAGGCGCACACAAAGAAATGTAGGAACACAATGAAAATTATTTGAGGTATTAAAGCTAGAATCCTTAATTCTTCTAGGCGCACCGGTGCTCCTAAATGAAAATTCCAGGTTGCACAGCAAAATATTTAGGCGGATATGGAAGTAAAATGATCACACTGTAGAGCCCTGAAACAATATGGCTAAAAATAAGATACATCGAAAAGGGTCGTTTTGAGATATTAATATTTTTAATGTTGAATAAATGAATGTGAAAATGTGTATTTCAGGAACTGGACATAGGCTACTCCATATTTGAGAGAACACTAAGGAGTATAATGACACCAAGATGTTGTCTGTATCATGTACGGTTCACAGATCATAGGGTTTTACAGGAGGCATGTATAAGTACAAAAAATGGCCTAAAATGCCAATTTCATCATGATAAAAAAAGGTGATACATGTAAAAAGCATTTTAAACATCCTTCCTCCCAATGAAGTACGTATGTGAGAATTGCCAGAACATTCTGAGATGCCAAAAATATTTTCAGCTGTCGTGGAATCACCCAATATTAATCCAGGTTCTCACACAGAAGACCATACATAACCGACGTTCTATAGTAATACTAGTCCCGTGCAAATAGGGCTAAAGAAGGGTTTAAGGTTGCCTAAAGCCCTATTCGGACTGGATTCGTTTTACTGGGGGAGGTCGGGTAGTGTAATTATGTGCACAAAACATGGCAGGAGAGTAACAATTCCAAAGTCCTCTGATAGTACTAGTCCCGTGCGAATCGACATCCCTGTGTTTTGAGAGAAATGTATGAGTTTGACAGGTGTTGCTCGCGCTTTGAGCAAGGAAACAATAACTGATTCGATAAATTGAACAAAATGCTGTGCATAGCCTATATATGAACGGCCTAAATGTATCAACTTTCACAGTGAATGCTTTTGTTTATACGTTATGTGCGAATATGAATTGAACATCGGCAAATGCGTCAAGAAAATAAATTGCGGCTATTTAATGCAACCCTTGGTTTTAATCGATCGCAAAGCATCATACAACCGAGCTAAACGTTTGGAAATGACAAGTTCACTTCCTCATTCATAGCCTAAAAACGCATATCAAGTGCAAGTGCGCTGTTTAGCTCACATCTGAAGGCTAGGACGTCGTCTACTGGGGATCGCTAAAATATCTTAATGATTATGATCACACTTTCTCAATTCAAATATTATGGCGACACTTTACCAAAGATGGTTTAGAAACTTGGGAACCAAGCTCGAGTTATCAGTGTAGCCTTTTGTCGACCGGACTTGTTGAAATAGCTTCATGCCTAGAAAAAACCTCCAGGCTTCAGTCATAACTATCAATTTATATATATATAAGGTAAGTATTACAGGGGGCAGTTTGGAAAAAACGAATCCTGTCCGAATCGTCCTCTTGAATAACGGACATTCTGGTGTAAATACATAACCAACGTTCTCTAGTAATACTATTCCCGTGCGAATAAGGTTTTATACCACATGTGTCTCTCCGAGTTTTCGCTCCTCCCTTGTACTTGATTGATGAATTAAGGTCACTAATTAGTAAGGAACTTCCTCACCTGGTTGTCTTGATCTTACTTGAAAGGGGAAAACCAAAAGCCAGCAGAAACTAGGCCCTCAAAGGTTTGAGTTTGACACCCCTGCCATCTACTCATAGGAACCTTACCAGCATATAAGCTAGTATTGGCTGAAAACGACCTAGTTGCACCTTAACCCCTTTTATGTAGTCTGTTGGCATGTTATTCTTAGCAATGCTGCTGTGATGTCAGAATAACTAGTAAACACTCATGAAAGTAGAGTAGAAGATTTTCTAGACCTTGAGGACTCAGATTGGTGGTGTCAAGCCTGTTTTTCCTGCCTAGCCATTGGAACCCATTACGGGCATCCATTTCTAGATTCAGATTTTTGGCTAACTCAGAATTCCACATGAATACGAGTGTATCGGCTAGATTTATATTTGGATCTATATTTGCTGAAGACCGTAAGCCTGAGAAGGAAGAATGTCTTCAGGTCCAGGGCCTCTCTCTGGTACCCAGATGTTCAGTGTCTTAGTGCTGCTACAGGTTAGGACATTTGGTGCCTGTTTCAGACCCCATGGGGATGGGTGTAATCTACTTTACCCCCGCCGTTAAAAATCTATTAAAACAATTCTTTATTTTCTCCATAGTCCTGAGAGTTCAATGGGGGCTTTATCCCCTTCTGTGAGATGAATCAGTTTTGCATGTGTGAATCACTTAAAAAGCTTTAACTGTGGAAGATGTAAGTCTGCCGGGGAAGCCAAGCTTTAGGGAATTACTTTCTGTCATTATGTTGCCGACACTTGAGAAAAAAGCTAAACTGTGTCTTGTCGAGGGAGCTAGGTTTTTAAATGCAAACAAAATAGATTGTAGAATAATAATCAAACATAAAGTGATCGCTCGGCTATTAAGACTTCCTCGGCTCCGGACTGTTACTCTGGCATAGTTTATCAGGAAGAGGACAGGTCAGCCGGACCCATGTCTTAGCCTTTCTGATTAGATGAGAGAGCATAGTGTTTAGGAGCAAGGATATAGAGATCACTCTGTGACCCAGCCATGAGATGCCCACATTCCACAACGCCCAACCCTCTGTGTCACAATCAGGATGTCCTGCCCCTTTTTGGCGTGTGTGTCAGTGTTTCCCCTACCTATATTACATTTGAGAAGCTATAGAATATTCGTACTATAGAATATTCTATTTGATTTAGACTGGGTCTCTATAATGAAGGCCTGATTATTACAGTGATAGATGAGTCTCTGTCTGAGGAGGATAATACATCATTTAGGAGACAGAGGCTGTTTAGTATTCAGTCAGATTCACATGATAACCACACTCCTCTTTCATCATCATAGGTGGAGTGAATCCTAAAATATGACGCTCATTCATATCATAGATTAATTCATTCCCACAGCTGTGACAGGCAGATGGCCCCAGTTCAATGGCATAAATCAATCAATGTTTTGTCTCTGAACTTAACTCTGCTTCCCATGTTGCCAAGCTCAATAAGCTCCAGAGACTAGCACAAATGTGATTTCTTTTTTTCAGGGTTCTGTTCGCGTACAATAGACAACCCTCAGCGCAGGATCTGTAGGCCTATTCATTTTGGCACAATTCATTCAGGCTTGAATAAAAAGTAGCCTGCTTTCTAAGAAAAAAACTTGTTGGAAATATCTGAACGAGAACAGAGAGAAAATGTAAAACAGACCAATTAAAAATCTAATTTGATCCATGCTGGGATAATGGCATGGGCCTGGCACACTGATTGCACTACATATAAATGATGATGAGGGTTCCTAAGAATCTAGGAAGTCAGAAGAAGTGTACACTTATGTAACTCTCTCTCTCTCCTCTCCCCCCTCCCTCCTCCAGGCTCAGCTGGTGGACCTGCGTTCGGAGCTGACTGACGTGCAGGCGGAGAAGGAGGTGGTGGAGAGGGAGGTCCACGACCAGCTCCTCCACCTCCATGCCATGCAGCTGCAGCTTCACGCCAAGGCTGGACAGACCGTGGACTCTGACTCCATCAAAGACAGGATGGTAGGGCACCTCTCTCACACACACGACTGCTAATATATTTTTTGGTATACCTGCTGAGGTTCCAGTGGGCCTGTAAAGTGGTAAATGGTCATATTCTTCCCCACTGCTTGGCTGTGATTTTAACTCTGCCTTTCTAACCTTTGACCCCTTCTCTGTTCTTCTCACCTTAAGCCTGTTCCCTCAGTGGAGGAGATGGTAAGTGTGTGATGTCCTCTGTGTGTCTGGTTGTGGTTAGTGATAGCTGTGCGTCTCTGTCTTGCATGTGTCTGTGCCTTGGTCTGTGTACTCATCCTACCCTCAAGTTCGGTCTTTTCCTGCTCTTGCTAACAACAGTTGTTCATTAATAAGTCCAACAGGCCCTCTATGGGGCTTGTGCTACATTTGACATTTTAGTCATTTTGCAGACGCTCTTATCCAGAGCGACTTACAGTTAGTGAGTGCATACATTTTTCATACTGGCCCCCCGTGGGAAACGAACCCACAACCCTGGCATTGCAAGCGCCATGCTCTACCAACTGAGCTACAGGGGACTACTAGATAGTGAACTAATGCATGTGAACAATTGTGCAAATGTTCTAAGGGGAAAGAAAAATGTGATATTTCTGTGAAAGCCATGAATGCCATTTGGTGAATGAGGGAGGTTGCTCTGTAATACATAAAGTATGTAGTGTTTGAGCTACGTTACCAGAGGGTCCACAAACACCCAAAGCTTAGACTGAGACAAAGGAGTCCCCAAGGCTCCCAGCCTAGGACCTGCAGCCAACCTGCCCTCCCCGATCCCAGTGCACCGCAGTGACGACAGTGATATCAGATATGGAATTATTGTAGCTTTGTTGCATTGTGTTTGTTATTGCCTATTCATGTACATTCGTGTTGCCCTATTTGATAGGAAAATGCATGTTTTGATACTTGGAAAGAGTTTTGTTTCAATAGTCAAGAAAGCGCAAAGGGAAATAGGTAAAACATAAATTACTACAAGACAAAAAAGCTCACTCAATCAAGCCTGATGGTCTTATAAAAGCAAAGCTTACTTTCATATAATTTAAAAAGTTTGAAAAAGTAGTGGAATGGGATAATGTCTTGGTGTGAGGAAAGCATTCAATACTTTATTTTGTAAGTTTGCGGTACAAATCACATTATTGTTGGAGCACCTCCTCCTAAGAGTATGAATTAGGCTGTTTGAGACGTTTTCAATCCTAAGCAACCTGCCTACACATTGTTTGAATTACAATAGACCAATTTAGCTACTGTAGTAGTTAAAAGATGTGTGCTCGAAAACCTTGGTAGAGCATGGGTGAAGTAGGCATTGTGGTGCTCATGTGACTTGAATTTCCTTTTTTGGCTTCAGACCAATATCTACTTCTCACTTAAAACATAGTTTTTGTCCTTAATTGATATGTGATTGTGGTCATGTTTTCATCATAACAAATCAGAAAATGTAAGCACATTTTCTAGAAAAGGAAATTACCAATTGTTCTGGTTGTCAATTTGATGCCACAAACAATCAAGTTCTGATGGAACCAACTGGCTGTACCTGTGTTCTAAAGATTAAGTTCAAATCTTTGACCCTTTGTTCAATCTCTAACTTATGGATAACTTGTTAGTCATGGTCACCATAAGGGTTAGTGCTTTGAACTTATAATAGCCAAAGTCACAGTTACCTATCTTGTGTGTCCTGTGTATGTGTGTGTCTTGTCCTCAAGTAGATATTTCATTTAACTTTCATCTATACTGTATGCTGTATCCATTATTGTCTTTGACATGGTATTTGTGGATGTAACACAGCCTGTGAGGATGCAGCTGTGGACTGCTCTTTTCCTGCTCCCTGCGCTGTGGTGGCTCCCTGTCAACTGGGCTTCATCTAATATTGATCAGAGGAGACTGCTCTAGCCTCGAGTCATGACCCAGTCTCTCTGTAAAGCAGGGATCTCTCTCTCTCTCTCTCTCTCTCTCTCTCTAAACAGCACAGTGCCAGAGCTGACAGGAGCGAAGCACTTGCTCTCTCTGTAGAGTTTAACTCAACCATTTATCTTTGCTTGTTTGTGTTTGTGTGCGCCCTCCCGCCTGCCTGTGTGTGACAGGAGAGGGAGCTGCAGGCCAACAAGAAGGAGAAGGTGAAAGAGGTGAAGCTGGAGGCAGAGGTCAAGCTGCATAAGAAGGAGAATGAGGCCCTCCGCAGGCACGTCGCCGTACTGCAGGCTGAGGTCTATGGGGCCAGATTGGCAGCCAAGTACCTGGACAAGGAGCTGGCTGGAAGGTAACCCTAACCCTAGCTCCAACCCTAGCTCAAGCTTAGACTGAAATAGGGAGGGACTACCTCAAACCAATAATGCTGACAGTGGTAACTGGTTGTCTTTGGATCCATCGTCTCCAGAGTACAGCAGATCCAGCTGCTGGGTCGGGACATGAAGGGGCCCGCTCACGACAAGCTGTGGAACCAGCTGGAGGCTGAGATCCACCTTCACCGCCACAAAACAGTCATCCGAGCCTGCAGGGGGCGCAACGACCCCAAGAAACCCCTACCATCTCCAGTGGGGCATGTGAGTGGACATCAGAGTCAGGGGTTTGATTCTCATTGTAGTGAAGATATTTGTTTCCTCTTTGTGTATCGCTGATTATTTGGTTGTTTTATCTCTCCCTCAGGAAACAGATATACTGAAGAAGACTCAAGGAGTTGGTCCTATTCGTAAAGTAGTATTGGCCAAAGAAGATCACGAGGGACTTGGAATTTCAATCACGGTAACCTCCACCACCAATTTTAGCCCAAACCAGAAAGTGTTAAATGCTATGCCTCAACCCATAGTCTGTTGCTTATCTGTCATGGTCCATACCCTAATATGTGTGTGCATGTCTGTGTGTTCTTTCTGGATGGACAGGGTGGTAAGGAACACGGGGTGCCCATCCTGATCTCAGAGATTCATCCTACCCAGCCTGCGGAGCGCTGTGGGGGGCTCCATGTGGGCGATGCCATCCTGGCTGTCAACAGCATCAACCTGAGAGACGCCAAACACAAGGAGGCTGTCACCATCCTCTCACAACAGGTCAGACTCAGCCCCAGGGAGATAGAAGGGTTGCATCTTGACATTAATTGATGTATGACATGACTAGCTATAGTGGAAGAGTTGACTATAGCATATACAGCATGGGACCAGGCTAAGTAAAACCATAGTAAAAAGTGAATACATTCCTTTTGTGATCAACATTTCAAAAGCCTTTTGTCACCCTCTCTGTGACACCCAGTTAGTGTTTAGCCTGGGGGTTCGAGCTTTTACTGAGAGTCAGTCATATCTTTCCTTTCCTTAACTTTAGTCAGCCCACACACTCTAGAGTAATTGAATGGAGGTTCATGCTGGGGTTAGTTCATTTAGCCTGCGGGGCTGCTGCTGTGGATTGGGGAAAAACAGTTAATCATGCCTCTGCAAACAAACAAACCAACAAACTAACTAAGCTTTTGGGTAACTTACTGTTAAGTTTTCTCTAACACTGCTGTGCATGTGTGCTTGTGTGTGTGTCTGCCTGTGTCTGCCTGTGTCTGTCTGTCTGTCTGTCTGTCTGTCTGTCTGCGTCTGTCTGCGTGTGACTGTCTGTGTGTGTCTGTCTGTCTGTCTGTGTCTCCTCCTGTCCTCAGAGGGGAGAGATAGAGTTTGAGGTGGTGTACGTGGCCCCGGAGGTGGACTCTGACGACGAGAACGTGGAGTATGAGGATGACAGCGGCCATCGCTTCCGCCTCTACCTGGATGAGCTGGAGGAGGGGTCAGCCGCCAGCAGGAACAACGGCACAGCAGACTTGGCATCACTGCAAGGCAAGTTATCTCTACTGTACCTCAGTCCTGGGCTGTCATTGATCATAGAAAACGCACACATAGTTTTCACAGTAGTAGGGCTTCATTTCGATGTAGCTACGTGCATTTGAAGTGTTTTTACTTCACATTCACTTTCATTAGACAAATGGAAGTCTTTGTGTTAATGTGTAAATGGTAGGCTTGGACGGTATCCAGATTATCATACTTATACTTACCTTGTGCCATACCCGGATATTCGGTAGTACCGTGACTGAACACAAGGGGCGCTATTTTGAAGCCCCACTGAGCCTTTGAGTACTGAAATAATATATAAACGCAACATGCAACAATTTCAACGATTTTATTGAGTTACAGTTCATATAAGGAAATCAGTCAATTTAAATATATTCATTAGGGCCTAATCTATGAATTTTATATGACTGGGCAGGGGCGCAGCCATGGATGGGCATAGGCCCACCCACTGGGGAGCCAGGCCCAGCCAATCAGAATGAGTTTTTCCCCACAAATGGGCTTTATTACAGACAGAAATGCTCCTCAGTTTCAATAGTTTCTCAGACGATCCCGCAGGTGAAGAAGCCAGATGTGGAGGTCCTGGGCTGCCATGGTTACACGTGGTCTGCGGTTGTGAGGCTGGTTGGACGTACTGAAAAATTCTCTAAAATGACGTTGGAGGCAGCTTATGGTAGAGAAATGAACATTAAATTCTCTGGCAACAGCTCTGGTGGACATTCCTGCAATCAGCATGCCAATTGAATGCACCCTCAAAACTTCAGACATCTGTGGCATTGTGTTGTGTGACCAAACTGCACATTTTAGAGTGGCCTTTTATTGCCCCCAGCACAAGGTGCATCTGAAATGCTTACTAACAGGGATGTAAAGAACTTTGCGCACAACATCAGAGAGAAATATGCTTTTTGTGCGTGTGGAACATTTCTGGGATCTTTTATTTCAGCTCATGAAACATGGGACCAACACTTTACATGTTGCGTTTATATTTTTGTTCAGTATAAATGTAATATCCCATAGAGAATGCTAACTAAATGCTAACAAGTGCATTGCGAAAATTCTAGAGTCTCTGAGCTAAAGTATTTGCAGGACAGACATCCCGGCTCATAAAGTTATACAAATAACAAAAAAATGCTACTCAGTTGGCTGCATGCACAAAACAAATATTAGACAGTAAGGCTCTTGATCCAGGAAGTGATTCTCTGCTGTTACCAAGCGATACTTGATTTTGGAAGAAGCTAGCCACTTCGCTAGATAGCTAACTAGCTACTAAATTAGCAAACCAAATGCACAACTGCAGAGCATTTTAGACAGCTAACTTAATAGTTATACGATATCTAGCTGGCAAACATTTAGTTGTGAATTCCATACTGTAACTAGATCACCTGGCGTGTGCTGCACAACAGTGAGTGACTCACAAGGCTTGGGTCTCTCTTCGTTGGGTGCTTGTAAACAAACACCACGTGACTGGGGAACACCGGTAAGCTTCATAATGAAAAATTATGTGACAGGTGAAATGAAGAACGCAACCTTCTTTATCTCCTAACGTATTGCAAAAGTTGACTACAGGTATTTACTTAAAAAGTAGCAAAAAAAATCAAATGTATTAAAAAAAATTCAACGGTATTGACGGTATTAAAAAAACATCCTGTGGCTATTTCCAAATACCCCGATATACGGTATACCTCCCAACCCTAGTAAGTGGACTTTACAGACTGCCACAATACCATATGAGCATATGTGAATGAACAGAAAATATGGCATTTCAGTTGGTACAAGAGTGATGATAGGTGCTACAGTAAGGAGAGAGAGTGTATTCATGTCTGTCTCTCTATATGTGCCTGATGCTGCAGCCCTGGAGAAGATGTCAGTGAGTGATGGCCCAGAGAACGGAGACACAGGGATCTTCAGTGAGACGCCATCGGAGGAGACCCCGTCTAAGGCGGCTGAGTCCGGAGAGAGCACTTCCTAGAGGGGCGGGCAGGAGCTGGAGGGATGGGGTGAGGGGGTGATGGGGGGGGCAGAGGAGGAGGGAGAAAGGCTGAAAGACTGGAGTGCAGGTGTGATGTGTTTTTGTACTATACTATATGAGATTTGAGAGACTGGACTGCATCAGAGTCCACTGGAGGATATGAAGAAATGGGGATAGAGTCGACTCATCATTAAGTCGTCATGGAAACGCACTCAGAGCTCTTGAATTCACGTCACTATCTTTGTGCAATGATGAGGAACCAATGAGAGAAGACCACAGATTGAGGAGAGGATGTGGGTCTAGATGGTTGAATGGATGGACTGAGTGGTATTCTTCTCTTGTGTGTATAGTTAGTGATCCTATTCGCCCCCATATTAAGACTACACTTCCTTACTGTGAGACTGCCCTGCTGGTAATGAATACTGTTTTACTAGGCTGAGGAAAATCTTCTCCCTTCATAAATGTTGGCTTTTATTTATCTCTTACACATGTAGCTTGTGTAGAGGGGTTTCTCTCAACTGTAATGTTCATTTTCTATCACTGATTATGATATCAATGTTGATTCCCATGTCATACCTGCACCGCTCTAAGATCCACCTACGAGTAGGCTTAGCCCTCAAGTGTTCAGAATATAGAACAGCCACATTCACCTACTGTATGTCAAAACAGAATGTACAGTCAGGGAAAGACTTGTCAGAATTCAAAGGATTTCAACTATTAGGGTGTGCCCTCTGCGTTTCATTAATGGTATCACATAATGTCACCATAGTTGTGTTTAAATGCAGGATACATCTGGTTTTCAGTCCTCATTACACAACATTTTCATTTAAAGATGGGGCACTCTGAGCGATGTATCTTGTGTGCTGCCTCGCTGTCTTCATACTGTGTTGAAAGTCCTTGTCATTTACTTTGAGGCACACACACTGGCTGATGTTCTCTGAAAACAAGTTGTGTATGACAAAGTTACTGATATCTCTGGAAACATTCGAAAGTTGTTTTGTATTTGTGTAAAAAATACCACAAGTACTGTATGTGTTAACTGTGTCAGTGCCACGGAATCTACTATATTAATGGTGTTTAACTGACCCATATTCGCAAACTTGGGATAGATCTTCAACGTTACACAGACAATTATAGGATTTGTGTGTTATGAAGCACTGCAAATTGAGTCGCCTGTACCCATAAGTATTTTATTTTCATTAATTGTCACGTGTCGCTCCATTGCCAGAAATTAGAAGTGCAATATCTTTATAATAAACTCAACTAGGATTTCTCCTTAACCGTCTTTGTTCTTGTCCCTTTTCACGCAAAGTACATATCTTGCTTTTTGTATGTCCCTAAAGTTCTTCGCTGGTTTGTTTCCCACCCTTCTCTACTGCTGGTGTGCTGTGATCTTGTATCAGTGGCTGTCAAGCTGTGTTTTCAGACTTGTTAGGACTCAAAGATGACTGACCACAGTGTGTTGACTGCACTGTGTTCTGATATTAAGAGCTGTCATAGGGTTATCAACCTGTCTGAGGGATGGGGGTTTCCAGCTTTAATCTATGAATCTTACACAACCAAAATGTTTGTGTACATGCACTAAAGATCTGTTTAAAAAATCAAATCCACAAACTATCATCTTTAGAGACTATAGGAATAAATCTGTATATATTATATAAATGTATTGGCTGTTTTAAAACATGAAATCAGTGCATTTCTGTAGATCATATTGGAATTTAGCTACTGTAGTAGCTAGCATCTCTCTACTGTACTTATTAGAAATTTACCCCAATTGAGGTGGTCATGACAACCTACAGCCTTGTGTTCCAATCTTGACTTCATTCATGGCTAATCTGCAGTTACTGTTTTTTATTTTTATTTTTTTATCTACACTGAACAAAAATATAAACGCTAAATGTAAAGTGTTGGTTTCATGAGCTGAAATAAAAGATCCTAGAATTTTTCCTTATGCACAAAAAGCTTATTTCTCTAAAATGTTGTGCACAAATTTGTTTACATCCCTGTTAGTGAACATTTCTCCTTTGCCAAGATAATCCATCCACCTGACAGGTGTGGCATATCAAGAAGCTGATTAAACTACATGATCATTGCACAGGAGCACCTTGTGCTGGGGACAATAAAAGGCCACTAAAATGTGCAGTTTTGTCACACAACACAATGTCACAGATGTCTGACGTTTTGAGGGAGCGTGCAATTGGCATGCTAACTGCAGGAATGTCCACCAGAGCTGTTGCCAGAGAATTTTATGTTAATTTCTCTACCATAAGCCGCCTTCAACGTCGTATTAGAGAATTTGGCAGTACATCCAACCGGCCTCACAACCGCAGACCACGTGTAACCACGCCAGCCCAGGACCTCCACATCCGGCTTCTTCACCTGCGGGATCGTCTGAGACCAGCCACCTGGACAGCTGGTGAAACTGAGGAGTATTTAATTCTGTAATAAAGTCCTTTTGTGGGGAAAAACTCATTCTGATTGGTTGGGCCTGGCTCCCCAGTGGGTGGGCCTATGCCCTCCCAGGCCCATCCATGGGTGCAACCCTGCCCAGTCGTGAAATCCATAGATTAGGGCCTAATTTATTTATTTCAATTGACTGATTTCCTTATATGAATTGTAACTCAGTAAAATCATTAAAATTGTTGCATGTTGTGTTTATATTTTTGTTCAGTATAAATTGCGATTTGATCAAACTCAAATGCTCTGCGTGAAGGACATGTCCAAGCCAAGGACAGTTCCCTGCTTAACGTTAGTGAAAGGACACACAGTGGCACTAGACACTGAGAAATCGTGTGTCATCTTAGAGAATATTCACATCGCTTGTTGCCAGTGCTTTTGACTGAAGAAAACAAAGGCTCCCTTTTTGTACACAGGTTTTACCCAACCTTGTTTTCTTAGTTTTTAATTTTATTCCTTAAAAGCAATTATTTTTGTCATAAAATGTGTTTCTGAAATCTTGGACGATTTGGTATAAATGTCTTATCTGTAGTTAATGTATAACATGAAATCTTTGAATAAACTTAAGTGTATTTGCCCAATGTGGTCTGTACAGTGTATGTGTATAGCCTGCCCTCCTTCAAACCTTCAATATATGAAAGGGAGATCTTCATCTTCACGAGGTTGAAATGTGAAGGTCCACATTGTTGACAATGAGAACCAGACAATGATTAAACTGGAAGTTATTTTTCTGATGTGTACTGGTTACTAATACTAATTTTTTCCTTTGACCTACAATGAACACCAGGGGGAGACGTAAGCTCTAGAACCACTGGTAGTGCATTCTGAGTTATCAATACAGCACATGGAAACAGCAGTCGTCAATTATTCACAGTGAAGACACATACTGAACATTTAGCAAATTAAAGAACATACAGTTACGATTCATATCAAACTGCTAATGATTTCATACAGACAGTTATGGTAAGAATCATCATCTCATTTAGCCAAATACTTGTAAACAGGCTCCAGTTTTCAGTTAACGTTTTTCCTACCCTTTAGAATTTGTCAATGGGACACAGTACAAAACAGATACTCTTCAAGCTGACATGAACAAAGCTAAAATCACAAAGTCGGCAGTCTGCAAGAAGAGACATGACAGGAATTTGTGGGGATAAACTGAATATCCAGGAGTAGTGTGGTCACAGAGAAAGCTGATCTGAGTCTGAGCTTTCATGTAGCTTTGGGTTGGAGGCTGGAGGTGTAAATGGTGCTCCACACCCCTGTGTGAACGGCCTGGACTAGGCCCAGCCCACTGGCAGACAGGACCTCACACACACCCGCTCTCATCACACACTAACGCTCATAGCAACAAATAGTATCTTCTCAGACTAGGGTTATCTCCACCAGACAACCACTCTAACCCCCGCTTATGGAGAGACCAGTAATGTGTTATCAGGGCCCTCAGTGAGGCTGTCATATCCCCAAACCAGCCCTCTCCCCTCTTCTCCTCAGCTGGGCCCAGAGCTGGGAGGACTGGGCAGCAGCAGTGTCACTGATCATCAGCTGCTGCTCCACGACTGACACCAAACTACCACATTCCTCCACAGACAGAAACAGGCTGATTGCTGGTGGAGGTGGGGTGTTCCCTGTGACTTCCCACTTCTCTGGGCGCTGGGACTGGAATGCTGGTCGTCCCAGGGCCTAGGCTAGGCTGCTGAGACGCACATTTTCACATAGTAAAGAGACCTTGACATGTGGAGGTCAACTGCTGGTGTTTTTATTCAGGGCTCAGTTTACAGCCAACAGTCAGTAGACACACTGAACACTTTGAATGAGAGTGACAAACTTCTTGCAACGATCAGACGCAGTACTGTACATGTACAAACATACAACCCCGCTTGAAAGAGCTCCACAAAATATTTCACAGAAATGAAAGAGTTCTTAGTTCCATCCTAACACAGCAGCAACACCACTGGTGCTTTTAATATAGTCGACAGCACAGGACAGCAATTCTATAGATTTTTTTCTTTACTCTCAAACGATGCACATGTATGTACACACTGCAGTAATGGTACCATTTAACATGGCTTTGTATTCAACATCCATTTAAAAAGAACAGGCCTTTACAGTAGTTCTTGACCTAGTTCAGTTAAACAGATCATCTAAAAACAGCTTTGTGATGTGTTGTAGTCCAGTTATACTCCCCTAAATCCCCTGTTGGGTGTTTCTAAATATGCCAGACTAACTGTACACTCTCTCCCATTGCCTATTCATGGGCTCTCTGCTCACACTGACCAGATCTGCCTCCAGACTTTGATACAGAGCAGCGATGCAGCCGTTCGGCTTTAGAGCATAGAGCCACCTGCAACATGGTAACAAAGCCCCCATTGTGGGGGACCCCATGCGGTGACACCAGTCCTTTCAGTCCCTTCATTCACAGTGTGTCCTTACAGTTCTCCGTTAAGAGCCAACTCCACTGACTGACTGCATAAATCGCCCTATAGTAGGACCCGCTGGGGACACACAAATCTGCCACTTTAAACTGGGTGCTGCTATACTTAACAAGCACTCTGCTTCCTCTATGCCTCTATGTCTTCCTGCTGAAAACAGCTTCACCTCAGACCGAGAGATTCTGAAAGCTTTATCATGACCTCAAAATATACTGTACAGTTAAGGAACCGAGTCACATTATCTCAATCTTATGTTACAGTCACAAACATCAGTCACAGTTGGGAATGAGGGGAGGTATTTTCCAATTTTGAGGACATGTCCTGTCTCCATCACTATTTGCTTTTTAATAAATCACCTTATCCCTAAAAAAAATAGGAAAATAAAAGTAAGCATTTGTATTTTCATGTCTGCCTTCACAGCCTCAGAGATGCATCCAGTTCATCCAGTAGGTCCGTTTCACACAGCAAACACAAACACTGTCGTCTCCCACACGCCGGATGTCAGTTGAAAAATAATTTACCATTTAGAGGAGATTGGTTATGTTTTCTACAGTGAGGTCCGTCTAAAACGGCAGTGAACTGAAAGAAATCACAGTTTGACAGTTTGTCCTGTAGTCCCATAGATGTTCCATCCTCAGGTTCCTCCAGAGCTGCCCTCAGGGTCTGGTCTATGGTCCGGCCTGAGGCCAATGGCGGGGGCCACCCTCACACAGTCCCTGGGGGTAGAGTAGCTCTCCAGCGCCGCCGGCTTGGCCAGGGGCCTCTGGTAGTCTGAGTAGCCATTGCTCCTGCTCTGGGCTGCAGGCTTGTTCACCTTGGGGCTGTCGTAGACCCCCTCAGAGTTACTGTGTCCCTGGTCTGTTTTGACCTGGGGGGTCTGGTAGCCCCCGGAGGAGCCCACCCCTGCCTCCCTGTCCATGGTTTTAAAGGAGGGGGTCTTGCTGAGGACCACCCCTGGGATGCAGTAGTTGGCCGGGTCTGGCAGGAAGCCATCCTTGTGGAAGGTGTGGCGCTCGATGATGGGTGTGGCGTACTCTGGCTCCTGGTTGGTGAGGGGCAGGGCGTACTGGTTGGCTGTGTGCAGGTAGTCGTAGTGGGTGGAGGGGTCGCTAGGGTCCTCCTTGGTCTCTGTGTCCATGGGTCTGAACGTAGAGCCCTTCCTGGTCACTGTGCCCATCCCAATCATCAGAGGCTGCTGGTACTCTGGAGGACACAAGGACACAAGTCACTTAAGAACTTTATTACCAGTGCCATGGTGATCAAACGTGACAGTTTTGGAAAGAGCATATTAAAACACCAACTTGTTTTTTTTTCACTCAGTTATAATGAATAATATGACTCCTTTATAGTGCATTCGGAAAGTATTCAGACCCCTTCCCGTTTTCCACATTTTGTTACGTTACAGCCTTATTCTAAAATGGATTACATACATTTTTTCCTCATCAATCTACACACAATACCCCATAATGACAAAGCGAAAACAGGTTTTTAGAAATGTTTGCAAATGTATTAAAAATAAAAAACAGAAATACTTTATTTACATAAGTATTCAGACATGCACTGTCAACTGTGGTAAATTCAATTGATTGGACATTATTTGGAAAGGCACACACCTGTCTATATAAGGTCCCACAGTTGACAGTGCATGTCAGAGCAAAAACCAAGCCATGAGGTCTAAGGAATTGTCCGTAGAGCTCCAAGACAGTCAAGGCACAGATCTTGGGAAGGGTACCAAAAAACACAGTGGCCTCCATTATTCTTAAAATGGAAGAAGTTTGGAACCACCAAGACTCTTCCTAGAGCTGGCCGCCCAGCCAAACTGAACAATCGGGGTAGAAGGGCCTTGGTCAGGGAGGTGACCAAGAACCCGATGGTCACTCTGACAGAGCTCCAGAGTTCCTCTGTGGAGATGGGAGAACCTTCCAGAAGGACAACCATCGCTCAGAACTCCACCAATCAGACCTTTATGGTAGAGTGGGCATACGGAAGCCACTCCTCAGTAAAATAAACATGACAGGCCGCTTGGAGTTTGTCAAAAGGTACCTAAAGACTCTCAGACCATGAGAAACAAGATTCTCTGGTCTGATGAAACCAAGATTGAACTATTTGGCCTGAATGCCAAGCATCACGTCTGGAGGAAGCCTGGCACCATCCCTACGGTGAAGCATGGTGGTGGCAGCATCATGCTGTGGTGATGTTTTTCAGCGGCATACTGAATACTTATGTAAATGTGATATTTTCATTTTTTATTTGTAATACATTTGCAAAAAATTCTAAAAACCTGTTTTTGCTTTGTCATTATGGGGTATTGTGTGTATATTTAATCAATTTTAGAATACGACTAACGTAACAAAATGTGGAAAAAGTGAAGGGGTCTGAATACATTCTGAATGCACTGTATATCAAAAGGACACAATTTTCTTTCAACAGACATGATCCCTTTCATTTATCTGTATATACTGGTAGCATGTTTATAGTGACCCATCTCAATATTAAACCCTGGCAGAGTATGTGAATCATCAATAATTGGTGCCCTAAAGGAAAGCTGTGGATTATTAACAGCAGCAGTAGGCCATTATTTATCTGTCAGGAACTGTTCAGTAGACTACTAGAGGACTTTCCAAAGTAAAGGATTACACTAGCTAGCCTCCTGCTGGCTCCAGCTTTGATGATCAACCCTCTCAAGCTCACCCAGAATTACATGTAATTACTAATAAGAGCCAGAGAAGAGGATCGTCAACTGGTTTTTCAGGCCATTGTGTGATGATTAATGAAGTCTTCTTACTTTGTATTGTTGGTTCAGACACTGAGTCAGGAGCTTACAATGAGTTCTAGATTGCTTTGGCCATGGACTGAACAGAGAACTGTAAACTAATCACCACAGAGTGTGTCACAGTTACTGTGAGTGGGGTTATGTCTGTAAAGAATGGAAAGCTTGACTGAGTTTTTTTCACCTCACACTGTCTGGGTGGTGGAGTTATTATGGATCAATACAAGTAACTCAGACACTCTTGGAGGAAAATGGAAGTTCAATAGGTGGTGGTGCCTCCATTGAATGGTTCTATATTCATTTCTATGGGTGCCTCAGGCTCTTGAGTTGGGATGATTGGAGGTGTGTGAGTGTATGGACATACGTCTCTGTGTGTGGGTGTATGGACATACGTCTCTGTGTGTGCATGTGTCCTCACCTGCCATGGTGCTGGTGACCAGGTCTAGTTTCTGCATGGGGTCCTTCTCTGAGCTGTAGCTGATGGTGAACTCTGTGGACTGGTGCCTGGCAAATGGCTGCTTGATCTGCTTCCAGCAACCTGAGGGCCGGGGGCAGGCAGGCAGAGACAGTAAAAAGACAATGGTTAACTCCACAGACAGATAGACATAATGACAGGACTCTAGCAGGGACAGCACAGAGATAAGCACCAAATTACAGCTGACCGGCTGGCTGAAACTGCTGAGGCTTCCATATGTGAGCTATTCTTTTAGAGACGCCAGGAACGAGAGTCATGCTGTACTATAGATATGGTTCTGTTTCAAATTCTCTGTCTGCTTTAATCATGTGGAGGGTAGAAGTGGATGAGGGTAGGGCAAGGGGGGTGAAAAGCTGGCAGTTGGACCTATGCTTGTGGATGTGGCCCAGTGTGCTTGCTGGAGCGCGTCTGTCTGCTCTCAGAGACAAGCCCTGACTGGCTTTCACTACCCACAACCCCCCACCGTACAGACATGTTGTCACAGATCAATAAAGCTGGGATCTGTGAGTTTCATTAAAGCAGTCATGATGATAAGGAACAATATACAACATGTTAGCTGACTGGGTATTACAATAACAACATGGATTTTTCTATTGCTTATATTTTCCTGCCTATAGCTTATTTCTAAGGCTCATCTTCACCATTCAAATTTATTCAATTTGATGTACAGTATGAATGACATCTTTGACAAAGTAAAGACTAACATTAGGCTTCATTGCTATGACAAAGAGATGAGTTGAGAGATTGTTCACTGACCTGTTTTCTGGGTATCAGAGGATCCGTACGAGTTCTCCTTTGTCTTCTTCCTGTGACAGAAAGACAAATGCTGGGGTGAACTCCAGTGACAGGGAGGACAGGGGTGCTCCCTCACCCTTTCCCGTGATAACCTCCTGGGCGGGGAGGGGAGGTGGAGCTGAGGCAGGGGGATGTAGTGTCACCTTTATCCCCAACACACAACTGCCTGGCTCTGCTGAGCACCCTTCTCTTGTTTATCTTTGTTTCGCCCTCTCTCTCTTCTCTCTAGGGACTCATGCAGCTGGCTAGATGTTCTGACCCATGACCCCTTAAGCCCCTCTCCCTACCACCTACAATAATTATGTGCTGGACTCTGATGTGTCTCTGTCTGGTTCTAATGTTTACAGATCGGACAGAATTGGCAGAGGTGACATATATATACAGTGGGGAGAACAAGTATTTGATACACTGCCGATTTTGCAGGTTTTCCTACTTACAAAGCATGTAGAGGTCTGTAATTTTTTATCATAGGTACACTTCAACTGTGAGAGACGGAATCTAAAACAAATGTATTATTTATAATTTTTTAAAATATTTTTAGTCATTTAGCAGACGCTCTTATCCAGAGCGACTTACAACCCTGGCGTTGCAAACACCATGCTCTATCAACTGAGCTACATCCCTGCCGGCCATTCCCTCCCCTACCCTGGACGACGCTGGGCCAAATCCAAAAAATCACATTGTATGATTTTTAAGTAATTAATTTGCATTTTATTGCATGACATAAGTATTTGATACATCAGAAAAGCAGAATTTAATATTTGGTACAGAAACATTTGTTTGCAATTACAGAGATCATACGTTTCCTGTAGGTCTTGACCAGGTTTGCACACACTGCAGCAGGGATGTTGGCCCACTCCTCCATACCTTCTCCAGATCCTTCAGGTTTCGGGGCTGTCGCTGGGCAATACAGACTTTCAGCTCCCTCCAAAGATGTTCTATTGGGTTCAGGTCTGGAGACTGGCTAGGCCACTCCAGGACCTTGAGATGCTTCTTACGGAGCCACTCCTTAGTTGCCCTGGCTGTGTGTTTCGGGTCGTTGTCAAGACCCAGCCACGACCCATCTTCAATGCTCTTACTGAGGGAAGGAGGTTGTTGGCCAAGATCTCGCGATACATGGCCCCATCCATCCTCCCCTCAATATGGTGCAGTCGTCCTGTCCCCTTTGCAGAAAAGCATCCCCAAAGAATGATGTTTCCACCTCCATGCTTCACGTTTGGGATGGTGTTCTTGGGGTTGTACTCGTCCTTCTTCTTCCTCCAAACACGGCGAGTGGAGTTTAGACCAAAAAGCTCTATTTTTGTCTTATCAGACCACATGACCTTCTCCCATTCCTCCTCTGGATCATCCAGATGGTCATTGGCAAACTTCAGACGAGCCTGGACATGCGCTGGCTTGAGCAGGGGGACCTTGCGTGCGCTGCAGGATTTTAATCCATGACGGCGTAGTGTGTTATCAATGGTTTTCTTTGAGACTGTGGTCCCAGCTCTCTTCAGGTCATTGACCAGGTGCGTGCTTTGTAGTCTGGGTGATCCCTCACCTTCCTCATGATCATTGATGCCCCACGATGGGTGAGATCTTCATGGAGCCCCAAACCCCAAAATTCTGGAAAACTGTCAAATCTCTTAAGGGTTGCATTTCCTCCTCTCTGCCCCAGCAAATTATATGGCACCCCACATACAGACAAAAATGGCATCATTGATGCATTTAAATCGCCCTTTTATTTCAGCTGGCTATCTTTTTGAAAGAGTGTCTAACCCTACCATCTCTAAGAGTGTCTAACCCTACCATCTCTAAGAGTGTCTAACCTACCATCTCTAAGAGTGTCTAACCCTACCATCTCTAAGAGTGTCTAACCCTACATCTCTAAGGTGGAGGTCTAACCCCTACCAATCAAGAGGTTAACCCTACCATCTCTAAGAGTGGGCTAAACCCTGATTCTGGAATTTTGCAGATTTAGTCAGAAAATGGTAGTGAAGTTTTTGCATTTTGGCAATTCACAGAAAAATAAGTATTTGATGCCTTACTTTCTATAGATACCAAGAAACCACTGGGGCTGAACAATTGGAACTGGGTCTGCTCAAATGTGCTGCCCCCCTCATTGCTGGCTCAGTAACCCATATCTTAGATCTAACATTGTTATCAGGAAATGTTTCAAAAGTATGGAAAACAGCGTATGTGATGTCACTCCATAAGGGCGGGGATTGTGATCTTGATAATTATCGTCCCATCTCCAGGCTTCCATGTCTAGCTAAGATTCTTGAATCTTTGGTAAATAAATAACTTCGCTCTTTTTTATCTGAGCTTGGTATTTTGAATATAAATCAATCTGGGTTTAGGCCAGGGCACAGCACTATCACAGCAACCACATTAGTTCATGATATTGTCAATGCTTTAGACACTAAAATGAATTGTGCTGCCTTGTTTGTGGACCTGTCAAAAGCGTTTGATACAGTTGATCATGCTATTTTATTGAACAAGTTGTCCTTGATTGGCATGGCCTCTGACGCCTGCTCATGGTTTCATGATTATCTTAGTGACAGAATTTCCAAATTTCCTGAAGATGTTCTGCAGGGGTCGATACTAGGACCTGCTCTTTTCACTATTTATATCAATGCTATTGGTCCATCTGTTTTAAAAAAATCAATTTCATCTATATGCTGATGATACTATTATGTACGCAATTGCCACGACAGCTGACCTGGCTGTGACATGTCTACAGTCCGATTTTTGCAGCTGTGCAGGAAGCCCTTACTGATAAAACTCATGCTTAACAGGGGCAAAACTAAATGTTGTTTTCAAGTTCTTGTAAGATTGTCTCAGATGGATTACATCTTCACTCATCAGATGGTTCTATAATCAAACAAGTCCCTGAATGATTTAATGTTTAAAAAACATAGGAATTAGCTTGTTAAGAAGCTAAGATTTAAAGTGGGCTTTTTTACAGAAACAGATCTTGCCTCTCTCTAGTCAGCAAGAAGCAGATTGTGCAGTCAACCTTTTTATTGGTTCTTGATTATGGTGACACTATTTATCAAATTGCAGCTGCCACTACTCTCAACCCCCTGGATGCTGTTTATCATAGCGCCCTTCGTTTTATCACAGGAGACAGTTCTATTACTCATCATTGCATTCTTTACCAAAAGATTGTCTGGACCTCTTTAAAGTCATGTAGATCACATCATTACACTCTTTTTGTTTACAAAGCCCTGCTCCACAAGCTTCCAACTTACGTAACTTCACCGTTAAGATTTAAAATGTCATCAAACTCGTGGTTAACTCTGGAGACTCCTTTGGTATCTACAGAGTTATGTAAATCAGCTTTTAACTTCCTTGCACCCTGGTTGGAATAATCTCCAAATGACGTTTCAATTGGATGCTTTGGTGTCCCTAGGGCAATTCAGACAGCTGACAGAGGATTTTTATAATGAAGAATATGTTTGTTTTAATTGACTGTGTTTTGTATCTTAATGTGTATTTAATGTGTATATTTATGTTTATCTATACTTGCCTATTGATGATTTCTTTTTTGTATTGTGCAGGGCTCATTTGCAAAAGAGACTTTAGTCTCAATATGACTTCCCTGTTGAAATAAAGGTAAATAATAACCAAAGACAATGAAGGCTGGTATTAAAGAGATTCATGGTACGTGTGGTGTGTATCCTCCTCCAGTGTTCTGTCACTGACGACTGTGGTTGTGTTGGTCAGGTCTGGCTCGTTATGTTATCTGAGCAACAGACAGGCAGCCATTCCGAAGGACCGTTCTAAGAATCTCCCTGACCCTCATTGTCCTACAGTATATAATGTATCTATCCCTCACTCTAATCTATTTCTTCTCTTTCACTCTCTCTTTTCCTGAAAACATCTACCTCTCATGCATACTGACACAGACACATAGGCAGACAGATAACATCTCCCACACATACGTAACAGACATACTCTAGGGAGTAAGCACACGATAGATATAACCCGCTGCTATGGGCACGTATAAGATCAGGCTAATCTGAGTTTGTCGGTCATGTTGTCATGGGGACAGGAAACGCACGAGTTAAGAAGGTGCAAGCTCTCCTTACACAACCTTACATTACGGTCTCTAAAAACATGACATTATCTATTCAAATGACATGAACGAGTCGCTTACTTCTGTAGCATCTTGACTACACATATCCCAATCAGCAGGAGCACCACAGATAAGACTGTGGGTACGATGATGATGGCCAGCTTCACTGAGAATAGAGATGAGAGGACCGAGCATGTTAGCCAGCTATTACATAAACAAACAGAAGGATTCTGGTGGATGGTTAATGCAGGCTGGTTAAAGCAGTGTTTTAATGAGATGGGTACCTAGGTCTGCCTGGGAGGGCACCGGCTCAGTGATCTCTTCGTCCACCACCGGAGGCTTGGGTTTGGTGGGTAATGTCTCCAGGGAGACCTGGGACGACAAGTTCACTGAGGAGAGAGAGGGAGAGAAGAGGAAGAGAGAGAGCGAGAAAGAGGGGGGGTTTAGCTGTGAGCAGGTGTGACAAAAACTTGATACAGCCCAAAACCAAAATAACAGAACTAACTTACTTCCCCACTTTATTGTAATGTACTGTAAAACAACAGATCAGTAGTTTTCTAATATGATACTATGTTTCATAATCGTCGTCTCAGAAGGATTATCTACATGCAGTCATCAATCACTATCTACTAACTCACTGATAATACTATCTGGTATTGTAGCCAGACCCACCCACTCAGTACTGTGGTCTGGACATGGTGGTTAGGATGAGTACCTCTGACATGGTGGTTAGGAAGAGTACCTCTGACATGAGGGTTAGGATGAGTACCTCTGACATGGGGGTTAGGATGAGTACCTCTGACATGGGGGTTAGGGTTAGGATGAGTACCTATGACATTGGGGTTAGGGTTAGGATGAGTACCTCTGACATGGGGGTTAGGATGAGTACCTCTGACATGGGGGTTAGGATGAGTACCTCTGACGTGGGGGTTAGGGTGTACAGTATACCTCTGACATGGGTATTAGGGTTAGGATGTGTACCTCTGAGATGGGGGTTAGGGTTAGAATGTGTACCTCGGAGATGGGGGTTAGGGTTAGGATGTGTACCTCTGAGATGGGGGTTAGGGTTAGGATGTGTACCTCGGAGATTGGGGTTAGGGTTAGGATGTGTACCTCGGAGATGGGTGCAGCCCAGCAGCTCTACCCTCATGGCGATCCTCTGGTGCCAGGTTTGAGGGATGATCCGCAGGTAGCGGGCTATGATTGGAGGGTGGAAGGTGTTCCTGGTCTGATGCAGACTGTCCTGGTTCCCCTCAAATATCTGACAGGGAGGAAGGGAGAGAGGGGAGGGGGTCGCTGGGTTTAATTGATGACATGCATTTTTGTAATTCATTAGCAACACAACACATTGATTACATATAAAGAAAGGCCTATTGTCACACGATAATACAAAGGAATGTATTTTGTTGGCCAATAACATCTACCAAAATGTCTATTTGTTCCATGATCAGGCAATTCAATATTGGAGTCAGATATTCGATAATTGGATTTGGAGTACTCACCATGTATTGTGTGCTGTTGTTCTGTGTGTACGTCCTCCACCGACTCCTTTCCTTGTGAACTATCTTGAAGCTTCTCACATAGTAGTGATAGTCCAACATAGTAGAGCCAGTCGTGATAATCCCTGTAAAACAAAAAATAGAGAATGTAAAAACTCCAAATCTCACTTTCTATTGTTCACCCGTTGGTCAGCCCTGGAATGTGCTGGAACAGGGACAGGAGACATCACCTCAGAGAGCAGAACAGTCACTGCACCACCAAGGGGAAACCCTCCCAGACATTTGCAGCTCCCAGACAGCCATGATGAGCATTTTTGTGGCAGAGGAGCGCCTGACACGGGGCCAGAACAATATGGCGGCAGACGGACGACCAGCAACATGTCATTACTCCACATTACACAGGGCATTGTGGTTCATATGGAGACGCAGTGCAACCTATCATTATAGGAACTGACTGTCATATTTCAAATACAGAATGGCAGACTCTCAAGGTATTTGTTGGTTTCATGGCTAAAATGTACTTTTGTTGCATAAAGAGCAACAAGGGTTTCCAATGCACAATTGTTGACACCGACAACAACAGAAATCAAATCTGTGAGTATCATAACATGAGTATCAGAAAGGCATGATCCTTAAGGAAAGAAAGGGTTGTATTCTTCAGGCTATAGAGTCTTACGATTGTTGCACAACAACAATTATACGACAACAGTGCTTCCATTTTCATGGAACTGCATTCCAATCAAAACGATGTTCCCCTTAACTCTGGATTTCCGAACCGGCAGACAAAGCTAGACATTCTTCATTGACTGGAACCCAATGTGTTGTAAAACAGCATGAAATTAACTTGGGACTTGCTGACTACACACACCACACTCAAAATAAACTATTGCGTCCGGCATGGTCTTATATTTAAACAGGCCTTTGTAAGTCACTTTCTTGTTTGTGGAGGAGCAATACAGAGGGGCATTCTCTCCCTCCATGCATTACTGAGAACTGGTCTAATACATTAGATTACTGGTCTAATGCTGTGTGTGTGTGTGTGTGTGTGTGTGTGTGTGTGTGTGTGTGTGTGTGTGTGTGTGTGTGTGTGTGCGCCTGTGTGTGTGTCCGCGTGTGTACACATGTGCTACGGTTTTGCAGTGGTGAGCCCTCCAGAGTTAAATCAAAAGAAAGGCCCATTTATAAGGGTAATTACCCCCTCTAAACAACACCCTGGATCAGATCTCATTCTATCCCTTCTCAGCTTTTTCCGACAGATGTGTGTGTGTACGTACATGTTGAGCCTTAATCCTATTACCATCCTCTACAGAGGGCTATGAAAGGGGGGGAAGCAGCCAGGCAGGAGAGGGTTAAATCTAAATGCCTGTTTTTAATTGATGCCACGGGGGGAGGAAATTGCCATTGCTCCTATAAGACTTGGCCAAGAATGCCAAGGCTCCTACTTTATTACAGTTAACTGTAATGTTAACAGTATGCTGAGCATTGAGCAGGCCAAGTAAGAAGGGATTGCCATTTATCAGGAGAGAGAGATTGGCAACAATGGAAATCTGTACCAGTAGGCTACAACCAAATCTCAAAATTCCAGATGTGAAAAACACCATAAAATAAGCTTAGCCTGGTAACCTAAAGGTACTGTGCCTTCAGAAAGTATTCATACCCCACATTTTGTTGTGTTTTCAAAATTCTTCAAGCTCAGTCAAATTGCTTGTTGCTCACTTCTAGAAAACCATTTGCAGGTCTTGCCATAGATTTTCAAGCAGATTTAAGGAAAAACTGTAACTCGGCCACTCATGAACATTCACTGTCATCTTGGTAAGCAACTCCAGTGTAGATTTGGCCTTGTGTTTTAGGTTATTGTCCTGCTGAAAGGTAAATTCATCTCCCAATGTCTGGTGGAAAGCAGACTGAACCAGGTTTTCCTCTAAGATTTTGCCTGTGCTTAGCTCCATTCCGTTTATTTTTTATCCTGAAAAACTCCCCAGTCCTTAACGATTACAAGCATACTCATAACATGATGCAGCCACCAGTATGCTTGAAAATATGGAGAGTGGTACTCAGTAATGCATTGTATTGGATTTGCCCCAAACATAACACTTTGTATTCAGGACAAAAAGTTAATTGCTTTGCCACATTTTATGCAGTTTTACTTTAGTGCCTTGTTGCAAACAGGATTAATGTTTTGGAATATTTTTATTCTGTACAGGCTTTCTTCTTTTCACTCAGTCAATTAGGTTAGTATTGTGGAGTAACTACAATGTTGTTGATCCTTCCTCAGTTTTCTCCTATCACAGCCATTAAACTCCGTAACTGTTTTGAAGTCACCATTGGCCTCATGGTGAAATCCCTGAGCGGTTTCCTTCCTCTCTGGCAACTGACTAAGGAAGGACACCTGCATCTTTGTAGTGATTGGGTGTATTGACACACCATGCAAAGTGTAATTAATAACTTCACCATGCTCAAACGGATATTCAATGTCTGCTTTTTAATTTTTTACCTATCTTCCAATAGGTGCCCTTTTTTGCGAGGCATTGGAAAACCTCCCTGGTCTTTGTGGTTCAATCTATGTTTGAAATTCATTGCTCGACTGAGGGAACTTACAGATAATTGTATGTGTGGCACACAGAGTGAGTCCATGCAACTTAATATGTGACTTGTTAAGCAAGTTTTTACTCCTAAACTTATTTAGGCTTGCCATGACAAAGGGGTTGAATATTTATTGATGCAAGACATTTCAGCTTTTCATTTTTAATGAATTTGTAAACATTTCGAAAAACATTATTCCACTTTGACATTACGGGGTATTGCGTGTAGGCCAGTGACCAAAATAATCTCAATTTAATCCATTTTAAATTCAGGCTGTAACACAACAAAATCAGGATAAAGTCAAGGGGTGTGAATACTTTCTGAAGGCACTGTATGTAGGGCAAGCCGGACATGCCCTATATAGTGTGGAGACAATATGGGGATCCAAATAAATGAATAAGCCTGAAGAAAAAGTCAGAGTGCTACTTAGCTTCTATTGTTAGAGTCAGGTAGAGAGGAGTTTTGGATGCATCATGTTTGAGAGCAGGTTCCTCTGAGTAGGACTCTTATCTCACCTGTGATCCTTTTCTTCTCCCCCAGGTCCAGCTGGAGCCACTGCAGGCTGTCGTTCTGGTCTGCAGCCCAGGAGCAGCCCCTTGATCCTGGGTCAGCCTGGGAGCTGTTGGGCGCCCAGTCAGACTGTGAACTAGAACTCACAGACACATGCCGCAACACTGACTGGTTCTTACAGTCTAGAAAACAACAACAGAAGAGGAAAAAGTAAATAACAAAAATTCTGCTGCTCTAACTGAATAAAACTGAACCAAAATATTCCCACTACTTCCTCTGTTTCCCCCTCAACATTACTGCTTGTTTTTGTTTTTCTGGTTTAACATGAATTATAAGTAATGACGTTTCAAAACGAATTCTAACAACATCAAGGAGGGGGACTGTATATTGTTTCTCGACTTTACACTAGCATTTGATTAACATAATAAAACGCATCTGGAATCAATAACTCAACCACTTATGGTGAGCATTGACTCCACAGGAAACGTACATGTCTTAAAAATCAGCATCTGTACTCTTAAAGGGGAAATAATGTATACTTGGAATGGCGCTGGAATGTATAGAGGACATTTTATGGGCTCCTGACCAATTCTGCTATTCAAATCAAAGGCTATTTGTCACATGCGGCGAATACAACTGGTGTAGACCTTACAGTGAAATGCTTACTTACAAGCCCTTAACCAACAATGCAGTTTTAAGAAAAATAAGTGTTAAGTAAAAAATAGATAACTAAAAAATAAAATAAAAAAATAATTAAAGAGTAGCAGTAAAATAACAGTAGCGAGGCTATATACAGGGGGCACCGGTACAGAGTCAATGTGTGTTCTTTTGCACTGATCGTAACTTTATTTTGTACATAATGTTTCCACCATCGTTTCCTATGACCGGAATGAGCTTCTGGACATCAGAACAGCAATCACTAAACTCAATTTGGATGAAGATTTCTACTTCAATGAGTTGGCGGACCAGGCCCTAATCCCCAACACTCGGAAGAGAAAGAGACGGCGACAGAGGCAGACCTGATGAAACTACGGCAGAGAGTAAATAATCCGCCTCTACCCTCTGTTCTATTGGCGAATGCATAATCACTGGAGAACAAACTGGACGAGCTCTGTTCGAGACTATCCTATCAATGGTACCTGAAGAACTGTAATATACTATGTTTCTCGGAAACTTGGCTGAACAAGGACATGGATAATATTCTAGCAGTTTTTTTCTATGCATCGGCAGGACAGAACGGCAGCGTTGGGTAAGCTCAAGGGGGGTGGTGTGTGTCTCTTTGTTAACAACAGCTAGTGCGTGATCTCTAAAATTAAGGAAGTCTTGAGGTTCTGCTCGCCTTAGTTAGAATACCTCATAATAGGCTGTAAACCATACTATTCACCAAGAGAGTTTTCATCCATATTTTCCGTAGTTGTTTATATACCACCACAAACCGATGCTGGCACTAAGACCGCACTCAACTAGCTGTATACGGCCATAAGCAAACAAGAAAATGCTCATCAAGAGGCGTCGCTCCTAGTGGCCGGTGATTTTAATGCAGGAAAACTGAAATAATTTTTACCAGCATGTCACCTGTGCAACTAGAGGCGAAGAAACTCTAGATCACCATTACGCCACACGCAGAGACGCATATAAAGCTCTCCTTCACCCTCCATCTGGCAAATCTGACCATAATTTTATTCTCCTGATTCCTGCTTACAAGCAAAAACTCAAAACAGGAAGTACCAGTGACTCGCTCAATACGGAAGTGGTCAGATGAAGCGGATGCTAAGCTACAGGACTGTTGCGCTAGCACAGACTGGAATATGTTCCGGGACTCATCCGATGGCACTGAGGAGTTTACCACATCAGTCACCGGCTTCATTCATAATTGCATCGACGACGTCGTCCCCACAGGAGACATCCTGTCAGAACAGTCACAGGAGCAACTAGTCTGACTAAACCCGTCAACTCCGCAACTAACTAAAACCCTATGTAAAGAAGCTATGACTCTTGTCCTCCTCACCATTCCAACATAATGAGAGAGAGGAGCATTGAGGAAAGTCAATAAGGAGCTAGTCTTATTTAAAGTGCAGGACATCAACAGTGTTGATGAGGTCATGAAGAGTCCAGACTAGGGAACATATACAGTGAGGGAAAAAAGTATTTGATCCCCTGCTGATTTTGTACGTTTGCCCACTGACAAAGAAATGATCAGTCTATAATTGTAATGGTAGGTTTATTTGAACAGTGAGAGACAGAATAACAACAAAAAAAATCCTGAAAAACCCATGTCAAAAATGTTATAAATTCATTTGCATTTTAATGAGGGAAATAAGTATTTGACCCCCTCTCAATCAGAAAGATTTCTGGCTCCCAGGTGTCTTTTATACAGGTAATGAGCTGAGATTAGGAGCACACTCTTAAAGGGAGTGCTCCTAATCTCAGCTTGTTACCTGTATAAAAGACACCTGTCCACAGAAGCAATCAATCAATCAGATTCCAAACTCTCCACCATGGCCAATACCAAAGAGCTCTCCAAGGATGTCAGGGACAAGATTGTAGACCTACACAAGGCTGGAATGGGCTACAAGACCATCGCCAAACAGCTTGGTGAGAAGGTGACAACAGTTGGTGCGATTATTCGCAAATGGAAGAAACACAAAATAACTGTCAATCTCCCTCGGCCTGGGGCTCCATGCAAGATCTCACCTCGTGGAGTTGCAATGATCATGAGAACGGTGAGGAATCAGCCCAGAACTACACGGGAGGATCTTGTCAATGATCTCAAGGCAGCTGGGACCATAGTCACCAAGAAAACAATTGGTAACACACTACGCCGTGAAGGACTGAAATCTTGCAGTGCCCGCAAGGTCCCCCTGCTCAAGAAAGCACATATACAGGCCCGTCTGAAGTTTGCCAACGAACATCTGAATGATTCAGAGGAGAACTGGGTGAAAGTGTTGTGGTCAGATGAGACCAAAATCGAGCTCTTTGGCATCAACTCAACTCGCCGTGTTTGGAGGAGGAGGAATGCTGCCTATGACCCCAAGAACACCATCCCCACCGTCAAACATGGAGGTGGAAACATTATGCTTTGGTGGTGTTTTTATGCTAAGGGGACAGGACAACTTCACCGCATCAAAGGGACGATGGACGGGGCCATGTACCGTCAAATCTTGAGTGAAAACCTCCTTCCCTCAGCCAGGGAATTGAAAATGGGTCGTGGATGGGTATTCCAGCATGACAATGACCCAAAACACACGGCCAAGGCAACAAAGGAGTGGCTCAAGAAGAAGCACATTAAGGTCCTGGAGTGGCCTAGCCAGTCTCCAGACCTTAATCCCATAGAAAATCTGTGGAGGGAGCTGAAGGTTCGAGTTGCCAAACGTCAGCCTCAAAACCTTAATGACTTGGAGAAGATCTGGAAAGAGGAGTGGGACAAAATCCCTCCTGAGATGTGTGCAAACCTGATGGCCAACTACAAGAAACGTCTGACCTCTGTGATTGCCAACAAGGGTTTTGCCACCAAGTACTAAGTCATGTTTTGCAGAGGGGTCAAATACTTATTTCCCTCATTAAAATGCAAATCAAATTATTACATTTTTGACATGCGTTTTTCTGGATTTTTTTGTTGTTATTCTGTCTCTCACTGTTCAAATAAACCTACCATTAAAATTATAGATTGATCATGTCTTTGTCAGTGGGCAAATGTACAAAAATCAGCAGGGGATCAAATACTTTTTTCCCTCACTGTAGCTAGCTAATGTTAGCTGGCTGGCTCGCTAGCTAACGTTACGTGTATGATCTTACTATTCGTATCTCAGAGCCATTTGCTCTGAGATTTCAAATACTTTTTTCCCTCACTGTATGTCAGACATGTCATGGCATCATTTGTCAATGTCAGGACATTTATCAATTTGTCATGTGAGCATTGATGATGTCCGAGTTGATCGGAGAGCAAAGATCTCTTCGTGCAATTATTGATCTTTTAGAGAGAGCAGTCCCTTTGAGCTAAAACATTTACCACATAAGGCCTATGTGAAAGTGCCTGCAAGAAACATGACAACTGTAAATTGGGAACGAGACACATTTTACATCACAAGTTCTTAGAAATTTGTTGTCCAGAGTAACTGAGCGTAAATAAGCCTAATAAGTGCAGTCTGTCTTCTGACATACAGTGCCTTCGGAAAGTATTCAGACCCGTTGACTTTTTCCACATTTTGTTACGTTACAGCCTTATTCTAAAATTGATGAAATAAAATAATTTCCTCAGCAATCTACACACAATACCCCATAATGCGAAAACAGGTTTTTAGAAATGTTTGCAAAGTATTCAGACCCTTTGCTATGAGACTCAAAATTGAGCTCATGTGCATCCTGTTTCCATTGATCATCCTTGAGATTTTTCTACAACTTGATTGGAGTCCACCTGTGGTAAATTCAATTGATTGGACATGATTTGGAAAGGCACACACCTGTCTATATAAAGGTCCCACAGTTGACAGTGCATGTCAGAGCAAAAACCAAGCCATGAGGTCGAAGGAATTGTCCGTAGAGCTCTGAGACAGGATTGTGTCCAGGCACAGATCTTGGGAAGGGTACCAAAACATTTCTGCAGCATTGAAGGTCCCCAAGAACACAGTGGCCTCCATCATTCTTAAATGGAAGAAGTTTGGAACCACCAAGACTCTTCCTAGAGCTGGCCGCCTGGCGAAACTGAGCAATCGGGGGAGAAGGGCCTTAGTCAGGGAGGTGACCAAGAACCCGAAGGTCACTCTGACAGAGCTCTAGAGTCCCTCTGTGGAGATGGGAGAACCTTCCAGAAGGACAACCATCTCTGCAGCACTCCACCAATCAGGCCTTTATGGTAGAGCGGGAGACGGAAGCCACTCCTCAGCCCGCTTGGAGTTTGCCAAAAGGTACCTAAAGACTCTCAGACCATGAGAAACAAGATTCTCTGGTCTGATGAAACCAAGATTGAACTCTTTGGCCTGAATGCCAAGCGTCACGTCTGGAGGAAACGTGGCACCATCCCTACAGTGAAGCATGGTGGTGGCAGCATCATGCTGTGGGGATGTTTTTCAGCGGCAGGGACTGGGAGACTAGTCACAATCGAGGCAAATATTAACGGAGCAAATTACAGAGAGATACTTGATGAAAACCTGCTCCAGAGCGCTCAGGACCTCAGACTGGGGCGAAGGTTCACCTTCCAACTGGACAACAACCCTAAGCACACAGTCAAGACAATGCAGGAGTGGCTTCGGGACAAGTCTCTGAATGTCCTTGAGTGGCCCAGCCAGAGCCCGGACTTAAACCCGATCGAACATCTCTGGAGACCTGAAAATAGCTGTGCAGCAACGCTCCCCATCCAACCTGACAGAGCTTGAGAGGATCTGCAGAGAAGAATGGGAGAAACTCCCCAAATACAGGTGTGCCAAGCTTGTAGCATCATATCCAAGAAGACTTGAGACTGTAATCGCTGCCAAAGGTGCTTCAACAAAGTATTGAGTAAAGGATCTGAATACTTATGTAAATTGGATATTTCCGTTTTTTGCTTTGTCATTATGGGGTATTGTGTGTAGATTGATGAGGGGGAAAAAAAACAATTTAATCAATTTTAGAATAAGGCTGTAACCTAACAAAATGTGGAAAAATTCAAGGGGTCGGAATTCTTTCCGAAGGCACTGTAGCTGTTGTACCGTCACGTGTCTGAACACATCTGTACTGTAACACCAACAGTTGATTTGTGAGCGTTCCCAGGAGGCCTGCCTGCCTGCCTGCCTGTGATATACAGTGCTATGAAAAAGTATTTGCCCCCTTTCTAACTTTCTCTACTTTTGCATATTTGTGATACTGAATGTTATCAGATCTTCAACCAAAACCTAATATTAGATAAAGGGAACATAAGTGAACAAATACCACAACAATTACATATTTATTTCATAAACAAAGTTATGCAACACCCAATTCCCCTGTGTGAAAAAGTAATTGCCCCCTTACACTCAATAACTGGTTGTGCCACTTTTAGCTGCAATGACTCCAACCAAATGCTTCCTGTAGTTGTTGATCAGTCTCTCACGTGGCTGTGGAGGAATTTTGGGCCCACTCTTCCATGCAGAACTGCTTTTTATTTTTTTTTTATTTAACCTTTATTTAACCAGGTAAGCCAGTTGAGAACAAGTTCTCATTTACAACTGCGACCTGGCCAAGATAAAGCAAAGCAGTGCGATAAAAACAACAACACAGAGTTACATATGGGGTAAAACAAAACAAAGTCAAAAATACAACAGAAAAAAATATATATACAGTGTGTGCAAATGTAGCAAGTTATGGAGGTTAAGGCAATAAATAGGCTATAGTGCAAAATAATTACAATTAGTATTAACACTGGAATGCTAGATGTGCAAGAGATGATGTGCAAATAGAGATACTGGGGTACAAATGAGCAAAATAAATAACAATATAGGGATGAGGTAGTTGGGCGGGCTAATTTCAGATGGGCTGTGTACAGGTGCAGTGATCGGTAAGGTGCTCTGACAACTGATGCTTAAAGTTAGTGAGGGAGATAAGTGTCTCCAGCTTCAGAGATTTTTGCAATTTGTTCCAGTCATTGGCAGCAGAGAACTGGAAGGAATGGCGGCCAAAGGAGGTGTTGGCTTTGGGGATGACCAGTGAGATATACCTGTGACGTGTGGGTTTTCAAGCATGAACTGCTCGTTTCAAGTCCTGCCACAACATCTCAATTGGGATTAGGTCTGGACTTTGACTAGGCCATTCCAAAACTTCCAATTTGTTGCTTTTTTAGCAATTTTCATGTAGACTTGATTGTGTGTTTTGGATCATTGTCTTGCTGCATGACCCAGCTGCGCTTCAGCTTCAGCTCACAGACGGATGGTCTGACATTCTCCTGTAGAATTCTCTGATACAGAGCAGAATTCATGGTTCCTTCTATTAAGGCAAGTCGTCCAGGTCCTGAGGCAGCAAAGCATCCCCAAACCATCACAACACCACCACCATGCTTGACCTTTGGTATGATGTTCTGTGGAATGCAGTGTTTGGTTTTCGCCAGGCATAATGGGACCCATCTCGTCCAAAAAGTTGACTCAAGTTTGCCAAAAAGCACCTGGATGATCATCAAGACTCTTGGAAGAATGTTCTATGGACAGATGATTCAAAAGTAGAACTTTTTGGACGACATGGTTCCAGTAATGCCTGGCGAAAACCAAACTTTCTGGATTTTTTTGTTGTTATTCTGTATCTCACTGTTCAAATAAACCTACCATTAAAAGTATATACTGATTATGTCTTTGTCAGGGGGCAAACTGATAGATTAATTTGTATTTTAAGAATAATGACTAAAGGATTTCACCCCAAATACAGTATAAATGTGTGAACGGTGTTAGAGTTATAATGTAGTGTCAACCTACTAACAGAGGGGGGCGGGACTAAACATTCCAGGGTGAAGGGGACTGAGAAAACTGGTTAAAAAAAGCCTCCTAAAGGTGGGCGGAGCAAAGTGCCTTTGTGTGTCAAGGGGTATAAAACAGGAGTGTATGGGTTTTGGCGCCAGAGCTCTCCATGATTAAAAACACAGATCATTCTTGCTGGTTGTGGACCTTGAATCATTTATGATTAAAACCAGAGCCTTACAACCCCTGGTAATGATTCAAGCTTAGGTTGAATTAGAGATAGAAATTCTCATGACACAAACGTACAAAATCAGCAGGGGATCAAATACCTTTCCCCCTCACTGTAGCTGACTGACTGGATGAAACTGTGCCAGACTGCAAACAGCTGTATGAAAATATCACACAGACAGGAGATACAGGGTTCCCACTCTTCACACCAAGATAAGGTGAGACTACACTAACTTTCATTTTCCAAACCAGATATTTTACCCCGTTTGACTGCGAATTACTACCTTTTTCAACAACTATCAGCAAATCATCAGAAATGCTGGCATAAAATGTTTCATTTTGTAACTGGAAGGCTTTGATACATTCCTTCCTGGTGAAAATGCAGCACATTTTCTTATGTGATAAAAACAATGGCCTAAGAAACTGTAGTTTGAGAAATAAATATTTAAGAGCATAAAATCAGTAGAGAAAGAGAACAAAAAAAAAATCTTACCATTAGTGACGAACGTGAAGAGAGCGTCGGACAAAGAGCCGCTGGAAGAAGAAAAATTATATCCATCAATGTTGGGCCGTTAGCTTCAATGATTACAATTACAGTGATAGATTGAGGGCCTGCCATTGTGGAGGAACACCCATTGTGGCCACAAAGGAGCATCACCAGATTGTCACCCCTCCCCGTTCTCTTCCCAAATCAGCCTTCACAAGGACCCTGCGCTTTGTTTCCCCTGCCCTCCCCTGTGTAGTCTCTTCTCTCCTAGTGGCCTATAGCTGGGGGATAAACCTGAACACATTAAGACCCCAGGGTTGGTGTTAATTAAAGGGGGCTAGTTGGGAGAATTGTATATTTCTCCGTCATCACTCAACAATCTCTAATTTTCACCAGCTTCCTGGATCTGATGTCTTTATCTTTGAACAGTTCAGAAAAGCAGACGAGGTGGTTAAATTATATTTATGGAAGATAAGAGAGGTGTGTCAAAGTACAAAAGATCAAACGCTTTAATGTGGGTACTGACTTTCACCTGCACTTGGGAGTGTCAAAATGATCTACTATCTAACAGTCAAAAAGAAACGGATCCTGCTACAACATGGATACAAACATACACAGGTGTCCATCTTGGTTTGAGCTGATCCATTTCCAATAACAGAAAGTCATTATCAAACAAGATATTGATCCTTTCTTCCAAATTGGACAGAAACTGTCTCAGGGCAGTGTTATATCATCACTGTCAGCCATCCTGAGAGTGGGAAGCATGGGGCTGTGGTTGATTGAGAGAAAGGGATGGGCATTGGTCTTGTCAGAGTAAATATTTTCCTTCCACATTTTTCATGTCTAAATCCAGCAGAATCCAGTGAGGAAGTAAAGTTAAGTCAAACTTGTCTTATCACAACGGCTTAACAGCATCCAGTCCTTCCTGCATTTTAGGGAAATTAGGGCAAGGGGGATACCTAGTCAGTTGTACAACTGAATATTTTATACATACCGTTGGGAGTGTTTGTTAAGTTCATGTTCTAACACAACCCAAGTATTCATCCCCTTCAGCAAAGGCCAAGTATTTGGAGAATTAGACTTGTATTAGGCTGGGGTTGTACATTTACAACAGAGCACTATGCTTCATGCAGATTTGGTGACACAGCACTTTTCAAGAGAAATCCACAAATCCTCAAGGTCTAGGAGCCAGAGAACGATACTGAACATATTCAATTCAGCAGTGCATGTTTAGCCATTGAATGCAATGAAGCAAATGTCTAAAGACCCCATGCATGTTTCCTTTGTATATAATCTGTTAGCAAAGCTCATATAATGTTGTTACATGGCTATAAAGAAATGTCAGTGTACAATATGTTAATATACAGGTTCAGTAGGACAAAAGGTTTATGTACTGGTACAATTAAGATTTATTTGCTACACATAATAGGAGTTTACATTTACACATTTAGAAAGTGATTGATTGATGTGCAGTGCTCAATATGTGTAGAGGGCAAATCAATACTGGGTAATTTGTGAAAACCGAACCCATACATTTAAAAATGTCACAATTTGATTTGCCATCATTGCTTCAATGCATTCACATAGCTAGGCTTAGGGGCTCTGAAGCTTATTTGATATGCACGACTTATCACGTTAGGTTTGCATGCATTACTTCTAAATGACAAAATCCTCCATCCCCCACTGAATATTAGGGACAGCTTGAGTGATGGCCATTTCTTTAAGACTCAAATCAAATTATTTCAAGCCCCTTTGCCTTCACCCTGTTGTCATAATATTAGAGATGCATCACTGTGTTACATGTATAAAAACTGACTATACGACTACACGCTGCAGTCAATAATGACTGATGGACACTATTTTTCTCTCTTCCCCCACCTCAGACCTCAGACCTCCATCCTAAATCTCTATGATTGCCATGGGCAATAGACTGAGTGTCTCTGACATTTGCGAGTAGCTGGCTAATCTATCATTGAAACAGTGCAGGAATGCTAGCCCGCTAGCCCTGCCTGATAAATCCTGTTTCCACCTATGTGAACTAGCCAAGGCCAGGGGCAGCGGACATTTATTTAATACTCGAAGCAGAGATGACACAAAGAACATGAGGTGTCCCTTCATGCAGGTTTATGCTCCTCTTAGGACTGTTAAAAAGATCAAATCATGCCAGTGGCTAATGTTTGTAGACACCAATTGGTACCTATGCTTACAGAAACCTATAGTGCTGTGAAGGGCAACATGTGATGCCTAACATTCAAGTCTACTGCTGTTGTACTGCCCATCCTCTGAATCATGGCATGTCATTCCCCAGTACTCACTCTTTGGACTGGATCCCATTGGCTCTGGTGGCGGGGTAGTGACTCAGGCCTTTGTGGGTCTCCACGGATACCCATCCTCCTAACTCATCCAGGATAACCCCTGCATGGACGGCGGCCTTACACAACACAGATGTCTGAAACAACAGAGAGATATCATATATTAGACATACAGAACTGAGGTCTGAAACCACAGAGAAATATCTGATATTAGAGACAGACAGACCCATCATAGAGGTCTGAAACAAGAGACAGATATACTATTACACAGACAGACACAGCTCAGATAACAACCAGGGCTAAACACAGAGAAGGTGGGAGAAGTGTAAAACTCCGGACACTCTTGTAATGGAAGTCTGAGCCTGAGATAGCCAAACTGTGTGTGGTGCTACCATTCAGACGCACCAGGTCTGGCAAAAAAACATTTCACCAAGAGAGTGTGGGCCACAAAATACATACATAAAACCTGGACTTGCAACAAAAGTGAATGAGCTTGGACTACTGCTTCCATCAGTGCATCTTTGCAGTCCAGTGCACCATTCCTCTCATGTCTGAGGTTCCCTTTAACATGGAATGGCCCATAGGAGAGCAATGCAGCTCCCCGTCATTCATCTGTGTCAGCAGTGTGAGCACAGGCATCTCATCCCAAATTAAAGAGGCAATCTCATGATATGGAGCCGCAGTAGATGCTAATCTACTATAAGCCCCATGCATTCTCAATCACACCACACTTAACTTAAACGTGGAAAAAAAGGCACATTGTGATTGCATTCAGGGGCGACAATTACAGTAATTGCAGCTATAGGAGGAATGTCAAACATACTTCTCGGTGGTTCATTACTTAGGAAAGCAGTACTTTGTCACAGAACATACAGTACCTTTGGAATAGCTAGATGCCTACCTCTCAAGAGAATGCCCCACCCTGCTGCTGAAATGAAGAGCTGGGACAGGTGAAAGGGAGCTCTTTGATGGATAAGTGTATAAAAACAGGCATTTCCTCCATAAGACAACGTGAAATGCCTTACAATTAAAGTGTCAATCACATGCTGTAAAAAGAACTAAAGCACAAATTACCATAATTCTCAACACGAACAAGGTGAAGCTCAGTGTTAAAATATTCGGCACATTCAGCCTGCAGCCATTTCTCCCTTTCAGAAAAAGCATACAGAAAGGACTGTTGAGATAGGTTATAATATTAGCACTGAACCTATTCAACTTGATGGGGAGGAGGAGTCCTAGGCAGGTGGGCTGAAGCTGCTGTTAACAGTACGGCCTGTGTCGCTTCTGGACCAACGCCATCTGGTCCTTACTGTTCATTATTATACCTGCATTATACACTGCAGGGTGAGGCAGGCTCAACCACAGTAAACTACATTGAATCTGCCTGCTGTCTGCGTGCGGTGGAGGCAGATGGAGCTTGGTCAGTTTGATTCCCAGGGCGCAGTGGTCTAAGGCACGCATCGCAGGCTAGCTGTGCCACAGAGTCTGGTTCGAATCCGGCTTCGCTGTACCGGCGCAACGGAGCCATGGGGGCAGTTGGATGGCTCTGGTAGTTTGTATATGATATCATGGACCCAGTCAGAGTTATGGCTAGAGACTAATCACAGACAGTTGCTGGAGCAGGGCTGGGTTCAAGGCTGCTGCTACTGCTACTAGTAGGAGCATAACAGACTAGATAATGGCTTTAACACCTCAGCCAAAGACGGTCTGGTTCTAACTGAGAGTGGCCATGTGTCCTGCCTCTGTTAACCTCATTCTCTATACCTCTGCAGACTATTTCAGAGAAGCATTTACCATCTTAGCAGCAGGGGGTGAAATGCTACATAGTAGGAGAGGAACCATCAACAGTTACTCACTTCCCTGCTGTCAGTTCCCAAGGGTCATAATCACTAACTAAGTAGACCTTTCAACCAACAAAATATGTTGCTAAATTATTAATTCACTTACAGTGCTTATTAACACTGAATGATGACATATGGTATGATAACCACATTAATTACCGATACACAATGTATCAAATACATAGCCACAATGCCTAGATGTCTTGTATGGTTATAACAAATACACTCTGAGGAACATTAATGCCATACCATAAACCGCCCAGAACACATTCAAACTGTTTGGTCTAAATGCTAATGACCGTGTCTATTGAATGGGTGCAGTGGACAGATAAACAGGCATCATCTCCTCATAATCTAGGCCCTCCACCAAACCCTCTCAATACAATAGCCCACGTGGACTAATCAATCGCTCTGGCCCAGTCTCCCAGGCTGCATCCCAAATATATAAGGGAATAGGGTGCCATTTGGGACGCAGCCCCAGCCCTCGACGCCCATCCTTCTTCCCAGCAGACGGTGGAGCGTTGGGAAGTTCTCTGTTGTTGTGCTCCCTCAAACCTATTGTTGTGGGGCTGTGGCTCCCTGCTGGGCTTCCTAAGCCTGGAGCTGTCTGTCACACTGACCGCCTGGCCGGTGGGCGGCTGCTCAATAGTCCTGATCACACCCCAGAGAGAGCAGAACCTCAGGAGGCCGGGAAAGACCCTGGTCTGGAAAGCCCCTTTCTTTTTAGATACTGAACCCCATGCAGGGCTGGACAGGGTAGGAGGGCCAGAGGACCACGGGGTTGACCCATCCAGGTGACCCACATGAAATGTATCCTGAGCCCCATAGAGAGGAGGACTATTATAACTACAGTTCTGGAGTATTTTTGGGAATACAGTGACCAGAATTTTCTCACAGAGCTTAGTTCTTAAGAGCTTAGTCTATATGTGTGTTTGGCTGTTCACCTCAGAGTATTACACATCTTATGGTATTACACATCAGCTACTATTTCCAGGTATTACACTGAAACAGCCTTACAAAGAGAGGTGGAAATCTCTGGCTCTAACTATGTGTAATGAGCCCAAAGCATTCTACAGTACACGAGCCCTAAGCCAAGCACAACTGGACCAGGTTTTACAGTTGCCTTGCCCCTTTGGTTTGGCTGACCTGTGATGCAACCTAACAGCAAAACCCAGCTCTGCTGCTGAGGAAAAATGCACCGCAGTTACATAAACAGATTAACCATCCAATATACCTCCACAACCACTTTGTGTTTGTGTGTGTGTGTTCAACAGCAGCAGCCAGGCAAAAGCACCAGCAACAACTGGTTAGCCTGGGACCAACTTCTCCTATCCAGCTTTTGGTGTGTCTGTTTCTGTGCCTAACAAGGGCCCATTCAGACCTACTACTACTTTAAGAACCTGTGGGCTGAGATGCTCCAAGTGGGGCCTCAGAACAGTTGTGTTCCTCTGACAGAAGACAGGAAAATGTCATCAAGGGTAAACAAACAAGTGCTTGGCTGGCTGCTTCAGTGGACTAGAACCTGTTAGGACAGAACTGCTGCCAAGGCTTCCAACAACACATAGATGCCTCGTAAATACCTACTCTGCAAACCAACGTCTGTGCTTAAACTTTCCCCAGGGGGGAGGCAGAGACCAAACAGCATTTCTGTCTGCTTTATAAACCTGGAAAAAAGCCAGAGAGCAGGCTACCATAGAGGAGGACTAGACTTTTACTTACATGTCTGTAACCCTGGGAAATGTCCCCGGATATGTCGCCTGCCACTGCTTTGCATCCTGCCGGACAGTACTTCCTGTGAGGGTAGACAACAATAGAACACACTTGTTGACAACACATTGGCCCCATCCTGTCAATTTCCCCAGATGGACACAGTTCAGTGGAGTGGTGAGTGATCTCTTCACACCAGATACGGTCTCTGCTGACACTATCAACATTACTACACCCTAATGTGACAAAATGGACTTGGTGGAGACGTATTGTATAAGATACTTGAATCTAAATTGTACATTTATTTCAGAATATTTAGGAAATGAAAAGCCCATCTTTGACTAGCTGTGGGGTAACAAGGGGTAATATTTTTCATTAAGGCCCATAGTCAATCTAGGAATCTATTGCCATTACAGTTAATCAAGAACTCAAAGCATGACATTTGACTTGTCTGAGACACACACCTACATACGAAACACCCTTACCTGTATTTTAAGCCTGAGAAATGGCTACCTTTGTCCAAACATGTGAGCAGATCTGAGGGGAGAAAACAGGGGAGGAGCGGAGAGACAATGAGGGGAGAAAATACCATCTGACCAGTGGTAGAGCTGACAGAGGAAACCAGCCCTGTGGAGCAAAAAGGACCACAACAACAGGATGAAGACCCTGTTTCCTTCACTCCCTCTGGGATGAACATTCATGTATACACACGCACAGACACACACAACGCACACATTCATTGCTCTTAGCGATCAACTACATTATGTTTTGGTCAACAACATCATAACGGTGGAAACAGGCATATCCAGCAAAACCAGTTTGTAAACTCCTATAATCTCCTGGATCAGCACACTCTGTGTTTGTTTGTCATTCAATATGGTCTGACTTACAGCAGTCTATGCTGTGTTCGAAAACGCTGCATGTAGAAACAGCCCCAACCCTTCTGGGTTCACCCCAAGGAGAGGAGAGGACAGGACAGGACAGGCAAGTCGTGGCACAGCTGATTGATTAACCAGTAGCACTGACTGTCCTCAGTGGAAAGAGAAGGCCAACCAAGGGACCGCACAAAGAAAACACAGATGTAGAATTCAGACAATGGTGTATTTTTTATCAAGATCATTATTTTGGCATAAAACACCATTTAATAATTAGTTTAGGTGTAGATCTAGAGAGGAAGAGGCTCAAACCTCTGTGGTCCCCTGAGGAGTAGGAGAACAGGAACCCTCGGCCCGAGATGTGACGCCCACTGCGGAACTGGACGATGACCTCATTGGAGTCTGTGTGCACCTCTCTGGGGTAGGACTTCAGGCTGCCACAGAATGTCCCATACACTGCAACAGGAGAGAAGGCCACAGGTTTATCATAACAGCCATTCATCTGCATTTTGACAGCAATGTGACCTCATTTCATATTCCAAATGACCAACACAAGATGGGGCCACCATATCTGAGGCCATCCCACAGGGGCTGTTTATCCCTCCAGGTCTCACTGACAGGTGCTCTATTTTCAGCCCCAACAACCCAAACCACATCATGTCATCTGAACCTCTCTTCCTCTCTCCCTTTCACACACACACGATGAAAAAAAATGCTTCCCTTTTGTCAGCGACAGGAATCTCACTGTAAATAATTTGCAGGGCAGACAAAGGGAGGGGGAGAGAGAGAGAGAGAGAGAGAGACACCCAAACCCAGCACAGTGCCCTTTCCAAAGACCGGGTCTCAGCCAGGCAGCCAGTGCTGGTTGTGCTTGGTCTCAATGGCCTGTGTGTTCACCTGACGACCATGATGAAATATGATGCATCCACTAGTCAGCTCCATGGGAGCCACAGCCTCTGGGTGGAAATCACTATATCCACTCCCTCACTGAACTACACATCAACAACCTTGAGGGATTTCCTGATGAACAAATAATTACATTCCTCAGTCCTATTGCCCTACAGAACATTAGAAGGTTCATATAAAGGAGTTTCAAAAAAAGTGTGAAAATACCACATTCAAGGTATGACCGGGAATGGGATACTGTAAATATCACTAATTCCTATGGGTATTAATGAGCAACACATGTTGTGAAACCTAGTCAGTGATGGAATACTTCCACCAGGAAGCTGTTGAGGAGAGAATCCAAGGCATACAGTGTTTCACCACTGAGGTTTCAAAGGGCCTCTGACACCCTGGCCTCTGTACTGGTAACCTCAGCTGTGGGTGGGTTACAACATGGGCATGATGATCATTCACTGTACAGCATGATGGATCTGGCAGCTCAACACTACCCTCAGCCCATATCCTGCTCTTCACCCCAGCCTCCTTCCAGCCCAGTAATTGTTACTCAGAGTAGTAGTGGCAGGCTGGAGGAGAGACGTCCTGCTATAGTGCTGCATGACAAATTTACATTTACATTTACGTCATTTAGCAGACGATCTTGTCCAGAGCGACTTACAAATTTGTGCATTCACCTTATAGCCAGTGGGATAACCACTTTACAATTTTTTTTATTTAATTTATTTCTATTTTTTGGGGGGGTGGGGTAAGGGGGGTAGAAGGATTACTTTATCCTATCCCAGGTATTCCTTAAAGAGGTGGGGTTTCAAGTGTCAGGTGGGGTTTCAAGTGTCAGGGATAGGATAAAGTAATCCTTCCAACCCCCCCCCCCTAATTTCAGATGGGCTGTGTACAGGTGCAGTGATCGGTAAGGTGCTCTGACAACTGATGCTTAAAGTTAGTGAGGGAAATAAGAGTCTCCAGCTTCAGAGATTTTTGCAGTTTGTTCCAGTCATTGGCAGCAGAGAACTGGAAGGAATGGCGGCCAAAGGAGGTGTTGGCTTTGGGGATGACCAGTGAGATATACCTGCTGGAGCGCATACTAGGGGTGGGTGTTGCTATGGTGACCAATGAGCTAAGATAAGGCGGGGATTTACCTAGCAGTGATTTATAGATGACCTGGAGCCAGTGGGTTTGGCGACGAATATGTAGTGAGGACCAGCCAACAAGAGTATACAGGTCACAGTGGTAGGTAGTATACAGTGGGGGGGAAAAAGTATTTAGTCAGCCACAAATTGTGCAAGTTCTCCCACTTAAAAAGATGAGAGAGGCCTGTAGTTTTCATCATAGGTACACGCCAACTATGACAGACAAAATGAGAAGAAAAAAATCCAGAAAATCACATTGTAGGATTTTTAATGAATGTATTTGCAAATTATGGTGGAAAATAAGTATTTGGTCAATAACAAAAGTTTCTCAATACTTTGTTATATACCCTTTGTTGGCAATGACACAGGTCAAACGTTTTCTGTAAGTCTTCACAAGGTTTTCACACACTGTTGCTGGTATTTTGGCCCATTCCTCCATGCAGATCTCCTCTAGAGCAGTGATGTTTTGGGGCTGTCGCTGGGCTCACACGGACTTTCAACTCCCTCCAAAGATTTTCTATGGGGTTGAGATCTGGAGACTGGCTAGGCCACTCCAGGACCTTGAAATGCTTCTTACGAAGCCACTCCTTTGTTGCCCGGGCGGTGTGTTTGGGATCATTGTAATGTGGAAAGACCCAGCCACGTTTCATCTTCAATGCCCTTGCTGATGGAAGGAGGTTTTCACTCAAAATCTCACGATACATGGCCCCATTCATTCTTTCCTTTACACGGATCAGTCGTCCTGGTCCCTTTGCAGAAAAACAGCCCCAAAGCATGATGTTTCCACCCCCATGCTTCACAGTAGGTATGGTGTTCTCTGGATGCAACTCAGCATTCTTTGTACTCCAAAAACGACGAGTTGAGTTTTTACCAAAAAGTTCTATTTTGGTTTTATCTGACCATATGACATTCTCCCAATCCTCTTCTGGATCATCCAAATGCACTCTAGCAAACTTCAGACGGGCCTGGACATGTACTGGCTTAAGCAGGGGGACACGTCTGGCACTGCAGGATTTGAGTCCCTGGCGGCGTAGTGTGTTACTGATGGTAGGCTTTGTTACTTTGGTCCCAGCTCTCTGCAGGTCATTCACTAGGTCCCCCCGTGTGGTTCTGGGATTTTTGCTCACCGTTCTTGTGATCATTTTGACCCCACGGGGTGAGATCTTGCGTGGAGCCCCAGATCGAGGGAGATTATCAGTGGTCTTGTATGTCTTCCATTTCCTAATAATTGCTCCCACAGTTGATTTCTTCAAACCAAGCTGCTTACCTATTGCAGATTCAGTCTTCCCAGCCTGGTGCAGGTCTACAATTTTGTTTCTGGTGTCCTTTGACAGCTCTTTGGTCTTGGCCATAGTGGAGTTTGGAGTGTGACTGTTTGAGGTTGTGGACAGGTGTCTTTTATACTGATAACAAGTTCAAACAGGTGCCATTAATACAGGTAACGAGTGGAGGACAGAGGAGCCTCTTAAAGAAGTTACAGGTCTGTGAGAGCCAGAAATCTTGCTTGTTTGTAGGTGACCAAATACTTATTTTCCACCATAATTTGCAAATAAATTCATAGAAAATCCTACAATGTGATTTTCTGGATTATTTTTTCTCAATTTGTCTGTCATAGTTGACGTGTACCTATGATGAAAATTACAGGCCTCTCTCATCTTTTTAAGTGGGAGAACTTGCACAATTGGTGGCTGACTAAATACTTTTTTCCCCCACTGTATGGGGCTTTGGTGACAAAACGGATGGCACTGTGATAGACTACATCCAATTTGCTGAGTAGAGTGTTGGAGGCTATTTTGTAAATGATATTGCCGAAGTCAAGGATCGGTAGGATAGTCAGTTTAACGAGGGCATGTTTGGCAGCATGAGTGAAGGAGGCTTTGTTGCGAAATAGGAAGCCGATTCTAGATTTAACTTTGGATTGGAGATGCTTAATGTGAGTCTGGGAGGATAGTTTACAGTCTAACCAGACACCTAGGTATTTGTAGTTGTCCACATACTCTAGGTCAGACCCGCCGAGAGGAGTGATTCTAGTCGGGTGGGCGGGTGCCAGCAGGGTTTGATTGAAGAGCATGCATTTAGTTTTACTAGTGTTTAAGAGCAGTTGGAAGCTACGGAAGGAGTGTTGTATGGCATTGAAGCTCGTTTGGAGGTTTGTTAACACAGTGTCCAATGAAGGGCCAGATGTATACAAAATGGTGTCGTCTGCGTAGAGGTGTATCTGAGAGTCACCAGCAGCAAGAGCGACATCATTGATATACACAGAGAAAAGAGTCGGCCCGAGAATTTAACCCTGTGGCACCCCCATAGAGACTGCCATAGGTCCAGACAACAGGCCCTCCGATTTGACACATTGAACTCTATCTGAGAAGTAGTTGGTGAACCAGGCGAGGCAGTCATTTGAGAAACCAAGGCTATTTGCAGCGGAGGGTGCAGAGCTGGTGGCCGGGGTAGTGGTAGCCAGGTGGAAAGCATGGCCAGCCGTAGCAAAATGCTTGTTGAAATTCTCGATTATTGTAGATTTATCGGTGGTGATAGTGTTTCCTAGCCTCAGTGCAGTGGGCAGCTGGGAGGAGGTGCTCTTATTCTCCATGGACTTTACAGTGTCCCAACACTTTTTGTAGTTAGTGCTACAAGATGCAAATTTCTGTTTGAAAAAGCTAGCCTTTGCTTTCATTTAAATTTTACATTTTAGTCATTTAGCAGACGCTCTTATTCAGAGTGACTTACAGTCAGTGAGTGTATACATTACTTTTTTATTTTTCATACTGGTCCCCCGTGTGAATCGAACCCACAACCCTGACGTTGCAAACGCCATGCTCTACCAACTGAGCTACATCCCTGCCGGCCATTCCCTCCCCTACCCTGGACGACGCTGGGCCAATTTTGCGCCGCCCCATGGGTCACCCGGTCGTGGCCGGCTACGACAGAGTCTGGATTCGAACCAGGATCTCTAGTGGCACAGCTAGCACTGTGATGCAGTGCCTTAGACCACTGCGCCACTCAGGAGCTAGCTCAAGGCTGATTAGCCCACCACAACATCCATTCGGTTGCAGCTAGCTAGTTGCGATGATCCGGTGTTAAAGGTCCAGTGATTCAGTGATTCCGGCAGAAAATCCTATATGTTCTTGGTCGATAACGCGCTGTGCAGACTGGCCGATAATAGTCCAGGCTAGAGCTGGCTGGTAGGTAGTGCAGGCCACGGACAATGGTGAAAAAAACCCTGCTAACGGTGGCTAATAGCAAGTAGCTAGTTAGCTGGCTACTCCCGTCCGGTAGACAGAGAGGTAGATAGCCGGGATATGGGCTCGAGGCTAGCTCAAGGCTAACTGGTGCTTGCTTCGGGGGCAGTGGTGATTAGCCAACAGCAACATCCATTTGGTTGCGGCTAGCTGGCTGCGATCCGGTGTTAAGGTCCAGTGATTCAGTTATTCCGGCAGAAAATCCGATGTTCTGGGTGAAAAAACGCTAACGGTGGCTAATAGCAAGTAGCTAGTTAGCTGGCTAGCTAGTTTCAACTGGAGATTCTAGATAAAAAGGTAAGTAAATAATAGAATCCGTTCCACATTGAGTGAGGCGGGTTGCAGGAAAGTATATTTAGTAGAAGGATGAAAAGTGTGATAGGGAAATATATACGTAAAAGACAAAAAAACTAAAAAAAACAGGCTATTTACACGGACACACAAGAGTACACGACCGCACTGCTACGCCTTCTTGGACAAGTAACAGACACATCTCAACATCAACTGTTCAGAGGAGACTGTGTGAATCAGGCCTTAATGGTCGAATTGCTGCAGAGAAACCACTACTAAAGGACCCCAACAAACGTGTCTTTGTGAGACACGTGTGGGTGAACGGATGATCTCTGCATGTGTATTTCCCACCGTAAAGCATGGATGAGGTGTTATGGTGTGGGGGTGCTTTGCTGGTGACACTGTCTGTGATTTATTTAGAATTCAAGGCACACTTTACCAGCATGGCTACCACAGCATTCTGCAGCGATACGTCATCCCATCTGGTTTGCGCTTAGTGGGACTATCATTTGTTTTTCAACAGGACAATGACCCAACACAACCTCCAGGCTGTGTAAGGGCTATTTTACCAAGAAGGAAAGTGATGGAGTGCTGCATCAGATGACCTGGCCTCCACTATCCCTCGCCCTCAACCCAATTGAGATGGTTTGGGATGAGTTGGACGGGAGCGTGAAGGAAAAGCAGCCAACAAGTGCTCAGCATATGTGGGAACTCCTTCAAGACTGTTGGAAAAGCATTCCAGGTGAAGCTGGTTGAGAGAATGCCAAGAGTGTGTTATTTCATAGTTTTGATGTCTTCACTATTATTCTCCAATTTAGAAAATAGTAAAAATAAAGAAAAACCTTTGAATGGTTAGGTGTTCTAAAACCTTTGACAGGTAGTGTAGTCAAACACCATCAAAGCACATAGAGATCTCAAGGTAACAGAGAGACTATAACGGCATACAGTGACTGCCAAATGTATTGGGACAGTGACACATTTTTGGTTGTTTTGACTCTGTAATCCAGTACTATAATCCAGCAATGACTATGAGGTTAAATTGCAGACTGTCAGCTTTAATTTGAGGGTATTGTCATCCATATCAGGTGAACTGTTCAGAAATTACAGTACTTTTTGTACATAGTATCCCCATTTTAGGTTAAATTCACTTATATGTGTATTAAAGTAGTAAAACGTTAAGTATTTGGTCCCATATTCATAGCACGCAATGACTACACTGAACAAAAATATATAAACACAACATATAAAGTGTTGGTCCCATGTTTCATGAGCTGAAATAAAATATCCCAGAAATGTTCCATAAGCACAAAAAGCTAATTTCTCTAAAATGTTGTACACATTTCTTTACATCTCTGTTAGTGAGCATTTCTCCTTTGCCAAGATAATCCATTCACCTGACACCTGGCAAATGCTCACCTTTGATGGCCACTGGCACGCTGGAGAAGTGTGTTCTTCACGGATTAATCCCATTTTCAACTGTACCGGGCGGATGGCAGTTGTGTGGGTGAGCGGTTTGCTGATGTCAAAGTTTTGTAAAGAGTGCCCCATGGTGGTGGTGGGGTTATGGTATGGGCAGGCATAAACTACGGACAACGAACACAATTGCATTTTATCAATGGCAATTTGAATGCACAGAGATACCGTGACGAGATCCTGAGGCCCTTTGTCGTGCCATTCATCCGCCACCATCACCTCATGTTTCAGCATGATAATGCACGGCCCCATGTTGTAAGGATCTTTACACAATTCCTGGAATCTGAAAATGTCCCAGTTCTTCTATGGCCTGCATACTCACTAGACATGTCTCCCATTGAGCATGTTTGGGATGCTCTGGATCGGCGTGTACGACAGCGTGTTCCAGTTCCAGCCAATATCCAGCAACTTCGCATAGCCATTGAAGAGGAGTTGGACAACATTCCACAGGCCACAATCAGCACCCTGATCAACTCTATGCAAAGGAGATGTGTCGTGCTGTATGAGGCATATGGTAGTCACACCAGATCCTGACTGGTTTTCTGATCCACGCCCATTTTTTTTTAAAGGTATCTGTGATCAACAGATGCATATCTGTATTCCCAGTCATGTGAAATCCATAGATTAGGGCCTAATGAATTTATTTCAATTGACTGATTTCCTTATATGAACTGTAACTCAGTAACATCTTTGAAATTGTTTCGTTTATATTATTGTTGTAACTCTACACATTTGTTGGATGCATCTGCTGTTTGTTTTGGTTGTGTTTAGATTATTTTGGGCCCAATAGAAATGTATTGTAAATAATGTATTGTGTCATTTTGGAGTCACTTTTATTGTAAATAAGAATGGAATATGTTTCGAAACACTTCTACATTAATGTGGATGCTACTATGATTACGGATAATTGTGAATTAATCGTGAATATTGATAAGTGAGGAAGTTACAGACACACAAATATCATACCCCCAAGATATGCTAACCGCTCACTAATACAATAACAGGATCACCCACAACTTCCTCTTTGTGTGAGGCTATTCTCAAGTACAACAAAGACACCCGCTCTCTCCTCCGGCTCTTTATATAAGGAAAAAACCCCCCAGAAGAAGCTCTGTCCTTGGCTAAGTGAATAGGGAAGCTCAGTCTGACATGTGCTTTACATCTGTGGAGAAGGAATGTTATGAAGACTGTGGTCTGTGTAGCACCACCACCGCTAGCTAGGTCACACTTCCATCCCCACATAGAACCAGAGAGACAATAGCCAAGGCCAAGATGGCTGACTCAGACTCACCATGCTTGCCTCCGTAGCCAGCCTTGAGGACCTTGACATAGTCCGACTGGCAGTCCCGTGCCTCCACATCCAGGTCGCCAAACCTGAGGACCAGGCTGTTGCCCTCTGGCACACGGATCTTCCACTCGCACCAGGTATTGTTGGGGTAGGTTCCCGGGTAGTTCTTAGATGAGAGGACACCGCTCTCTGGGCCCAGCATTGAGTGGCCACAACCGTCATCTGGACAAAACCATAGGAGTGAAGTCGAGTTAGATCAGAAAAGTTCTGTCTCCATTTTGGTGTTGTATTTCTATTACATTGTTTAAGACTTGTTAAACCATGATATGAGAAACACACGTGATGGTGGAGCTAGGTGGAGAAAAAACTGGAAGGCAAATAAGAACATTCACCATTCAAGGCTCAACTTTCACTCCACAACCACGCCAAACAACCTCACCAGTAAATTAGACATATTGTTCAGTTTGCTAGTTAGCCAACATGACTAATTTTACTAAGCTAACCGTTTACAATTAATCAAGGAAAGCAGCAGGTCTACAAAGAGAATGTGCTAGTACATATGAAAGGAATCACTCATGTTAAGTAGACATTAAGGGAGGGAGACATGTCAAGACAAGTCAAACCAAACACACTGTAAATATTGCATTGTGTCAGCAAAAATACAAGCCCTGATGAGAGCTATTGGAAGGCAGTCTTAATTACATCAATCAAAGTGAGTAAAAATTAGCCAATGTCTCGATGAGCTGACATCTTCTCAGACTGACAACAAATAGGAGTTACTTAACAGAAATACCTGGCTGATGCACTTCTGCTTAAGAACGCAGAGCACAGCAAAGCAAAAAAAGCTCTCTCTCTAGAGATCCAGAGATCCCCATTGGGTGGCACGAGAGGTGGGGTGTCTGTCTGGGATGCTCAGCTGCTTGGGCCAGGCCAGCTCCAGGCTCTTGTAGAAGGTGTGGGGCTTCCCTTTGGCCGTGTGTGTGTGTGGTGTGCCAGTGGCGCCCATGCCTCGGGGCCTAGCCCAGCACCCTGGTGACACGGTGGACCCTGTTTACAGAAAGGTTAATCCACTGTCCCCCTGGGTGTGGCATTAACACCTGTGACAGCACTAACAGGCCCGCATGGGCCTCATGGCAGCTGTGTCCCACAGAGACCAGTCACCAGACTGCTTCCCACAGACCTAGGCCCAGTCCTAGCCTCTAATCCCTAGAGACGTCACGTAGATATGAAATGATTAGCAATATTGATTAGCAATATGGTGAAAATTCTACCTAGCTTATCATAGGGCAAGGTTGCGCTACTATCACGTCTTATGCTTACACCTATCCCCAATACATCATACCTATTCCATTTCTTTCAGATCTAGCCTATATAGGGCGGCAGGTAGCTTAGTGGGTAAGAGCATTGTGCCAGTAACTGAAAGGTCGCTGGTTCTAATCCCCGAGCCGACTAGGTGAAAAATCTGTCGATGTGCCCTTAAGCAAGGCACTTAACCCTAATTGCTCCTGTAAGTCACTCTGGATAAGAGCGTCTGCTAAATGACTAAAAAATTAAATTAAAATAAATATGAAGTGCCTAGGAGGTAGGGGCTAGTGTTTGGACTGGGCCTTTGAACTTAGATGTACTGTATGTAGAACAGAAACACATAGTCCAGACATCAATGGCAGGATCTGTGCAGTGCTGGAACATTTCGCATAGGCCTAAAACATGCATGAAATAACACTGGTTTCTGGATAAGGAGCTCTAAAGACAGATTCTTTCCAATGAAGGTAAATCACATTTCATGGAAAAACATTTAAAGAAAATTAGTTGGCCCACGGACAAATGAATGAGGCTATTAAAAAACACATGATGGCAGCTTTGACTTGACTGGCCAGTCCACAGGCATGCAGTGATGTTACGTCAGCGTCACACACTGGGCAGGCACACACAGTGGCCTTTGTGGTCGGAGGCTGGACTCAGTCCAGATGTGAGGCTGGGCGGACAGCACAGCGGGACGGAAAAATGTAAACAAGATGCAGATACCCACCTGGGGGCAGGCGCAGGAGTCAGTGCATCATCACACAACGGTAAAGTAGGAAATAGACTACACCCATGCCGCGGAGAATTACTGACCATAGGTGTGTAAACAGAGAAGGTCAGAGTGGGCCCTTTAAGATCCACTCAAGAGCCTTTTCAGGTAGTGGTTCGTTTGGAACAATAACAATCAAGCTCTCTGTCTATGTTTTTTTTTGTTTGGTTCAGTCCACATGCACTTTAAATACCTACAGTACAACAACATGTTTACATGACAGAGTCCCCCAGCAGATAGACCTACTAAGCCATTTTTTAATCTTCCATGACCTAGACATTTTCTGATCCTCTCAGATATAGGCTCCTGTGTTGGAGGTTTCAGTCAGATTTCAGTTCTTGTCTTTTTTTAGTTCCTGAGATTCTTCATTCATAGTGAGGTATCATTTCTCTCTATGCAGTGCACATAGTTGGGTCACTAGAGTAATTCCACCTAAGCTTTATGTATCATTTTCTCACTCCAGTCATACTGATATACACAGGCAAACTCATTCATTAATTTTTTACTAAAAGAGAATATAATGATGCAATTTAAATGTTTTATGCCAGTGCATCTCTCATCGTCTCTCCTGAACACCTGGCTGACTTCTGCCCTCGGGACAAACATGAAATATTCACTTCACACACTCAGAGGGGCAGTTGTGGAAGCAGATGCAATGTGACAGGCAGGGAGGCTCAACATAATACCAGGTAGAGGGGGAAAACGCCATCAAATAATGACAGGAATCAATTCTTCCCCCGCTCTGTCGGACTACAATGTGCATCGGACTAAAACTGTTCATTGCATGGCTCCACACAAGGTTCCCAAAGGAAGCCAGTGGGAGAGCTTTGGCTAAGCTGAGTGCTAAGGCATGCGTGGCGCTGTAGGGCATTGTTCAGCAGCCAGTGGTGACTCCTTGGTACTGAGAGACAATACCACAGGAGCACAGGCACAAAAGGATGACCCTGCTCCATTGTCATTCTAAGGCACGTAGCCTACTATGAGCCTATCTGGCTAAATAGTACAAAATCGAGCATTGCCGTCCATCAGTGTGGTGGTACAGGAGGATGATCAATCACACAGCTATTATGGTCGCAGCTCCAGTACCTCCCTTTTGGCTGTTTTGTCACGGGTGAAAGTCACCTATCTTCTTAGGGATTGTTAGATTACATTTGGCAGGTAGCCTATGTAAGCCTACAGGCTTAATGGTTAACCATTGAACTGAAGACTACTATACTTACTTTCAACATTCCTCTTCTAAGATAATACAGCTCAGAGAGTTTCAAGGAGTAGTGTTTGAAAGACAACTGTTAAAACATGACTGGTTCTATTTCTCACAACATTTTGCATGTTTGATCTCAACTCAATGTAGCATAACAGTGATTCAATGTAACAAATACATGATTCATTGTAATTACATGCCACACACTACTGTTTCATTGAAGTACTTAACATTCGAGGCTTATTGAACAAGCCCCACACAATGTGTTATTAACCCTTTATGTGCCATGTATTTAAGGCACATAAACACTGTCTGGTGTGCCTTCAACACATGGTACACCAAAGTCTAGTAAAACGTCAAATTATCGGTGTCATCCTGAATTAAAGAATATTCAGGTTCCATCGAATGTGAAGTAGCGAGACCTGTTACATACAATCTGCTGTAGTACAATAAAGTAATGGGTAATCGTGTAAATCGCGGTTGCTTTAACGACGGTTAGTTTGCTTACCGAGTTTTTCGCCGAACGCGGAGAGTATAGTCCAAACCAGAAAGAATCCATGAAGTTGCTCCTTTCCCGACATCTCAGTTTTTATCCAAAGTAAGGCAACGAAAGCGCATATGGACACACATTTGTCTCGTCTTCATGGGATCATTTTCTTTAGGAAGTTTTGCTGTAATTCAAAGGATCCCGATGCGCTCCGTGTGCTTCTATCCTGCCTGTATCTCCACAGTAGATTCCTTGAATGAACTCTTCCGTGTTTCATCCACAGGCGGCACCCAGTGGTTGGGTCGACCAACCAGTCTGACCGCCACGGTGTCGTTGGGGAGAGGAGTATAACTGTTGAGTAGCCAAGAAAGGTAGACAGGCAAGAGGCAACACAATTGATCAAAATAATTGTTGTTGAGTTCAATTGCACACCTCTGCTGAAAGGTAAGGCCTATGATCTTTTTATCTAGGCCTACTTCATATAGGCCTACTATTCTGTAATCAATTGCAATGCTATTGGGTATTTGCTATTCTAGCCTATTTATTTAATGACAGAAATACTGACTCAAGTGAGGTGTTTTTAGGTTAGCTGATTAATTGACGATGTTTGTTTTTCATTAACATTTAAGGTGATCATAGGGCAGTGAGGTGTGGAAGACCCCCGTTAATGGGTTGATTAGATCAAGTTGATATACACTGAACAAAAATAGAAACGCAACATGAAACAATTTAAAAGATTTTACTGCGTTACAGTTCATATGAGGAAATCAGTCAATTTAAATAAATGCATTAGGCCCTAGTCTATGGATTTCACATGACTGGGAATACAGATATGCATCTGTTGGTCACAGATACCTTAAAAAAAAGGTAGGGGCATAGATCAGAAAACCAGTCAGTATCTGGTGTGACCACCATTTATTTGCCTCATTAGTGTGACACATCTCCTTCGCATAGAGTTGATCAGGCTGTTGATTGTGGCCTGTGGAATGTTGTCCCACTCCTCTTCAATGGCTGTGGGAAGTTGCTGTATATTTGGCGGGAACTGAAACACATTGTCGAACATGTCGATCCAGAGAATCCCAAACGTGCTGAATGGGTGACATGCAGTGGCTACCTGTCATTCAGGGCAGGTGGTTTGAGCCCCACATTTTAGCAAAAAAAAATATATATATACATATATATATATATATATATACACTATCAGTCAAAAGTTTGGACACACCTACTCATTCAAGGGTTTTTCTTTATTTTTACAATAGTTTTTACATTGAAGAATAATAGTGAAGACATCAAAACTATGAAATAACACATATGGAATCATGTAGTAACCAAAGAAGTGTTAAACAAATCAAAATATATTTTATATTTGAGATTCTTCAAATAGCCACCCTTTGCCTTGATGACAGCTTTGCACACTCTTGGCATTCTCTCAACCAGCTTCATGAGGTAATCCCCTGGAATGCATTTCAATTAACAGGTGTGCCTTCTTAAAAGTTAATTTGTGGAATTTATTTCCTTCTTAATGTGTTTGAGCCAATCAGTTGTGTTGTGACAAGGTAGGGGGGGGGGTATACAGAAGATAGCCCTATTTGGTAAAAGACCAAGTCAATATTATGGTAAGAACAGCTCAAATAAGCAAAGAGAAACAACAGTCCATCATTACTTTATGACATGAAGGTCAGTCAATACAGAACATTTCAAGAACTTTGAAAGTTTCTTCAAGTGCAGTCGCAATAACCATCAAGCGCTATGTTGAAACTGGCTCTCATGAGGACTGCCACAGGAATGGAAGACCCAGAGTTACCTCTGCTGCAGAGGATAAGTTCATTAGAGTTACCAGCCTCTGAAATTGCAGCCCAAATAAATGCTTCACAGAGTTCAAGTAACAGACACATGTCAACATCAACTGTTCAGAGGGGACTGTGAGAATAAGGCCTTCATGGTCGAATTTCTACAAAGAAACCACTACTAAAGGACACCAATAAGAAAGAAGAGATTTGCTTGGGCCAAGAAACACAAGCAATAGATATTAGACCGGTGGAAATTTGTCCTTTGGTCTGGAGTCCAAATTGGAGATTTTTGGTTCCAACCGCCGTGTCTTTGTGAGACACGGTGTGGGTGAACAAAAAAAAGCATTCCAGGTGAAGCTGGTTGAGAGAATACCAGATTGTGCAATTTATTCCAGGTGAAGCTGGTTGAGAGAATACCAAGAGTGTGCAATTTTCTGGTTCTAACATGATTCCATATGTGTTATTTCATAGTTTTGGTGTCTTCACTATTATTCTACAATGTAGAAAATAGTAAAAATTAAGTTAAACCCTTGAATGAGTAGTTGTGTCCAAACTTTTAAATATATACTTTTTTTGGGGGGGGGGGGGGGGGGGTTGCCTGTTTTGCATGTTATTTTGGCATTAATACGTGTCACGTATCAGTTTGCAAACAATTTTTAAAATAAATGATAAACATGGTCTCTTTTTTGCTTTCTTGAGTAAGGCAGCTCCAAAATGCAGGTGTTTCAGCCTAGCTCAGTGCTTTCTGTGGTGGTGGGGCAGCCAGCGGAAAATATGGAGCATAGGGGTTGGTAATGTTCTCTAGTTGTGCTGTGATTGGCTCAGTGTTCTGTCATTCATGGGGACACTACTTCACTGCCAAATCTAAGGGTAGAGCTCGAGAATTCAAGCCCCTTGGGTGCTGCCATAGAGTTACATTAGAAGTGCCCATCCAAGAAGGCTCAAGGTCATTGGCCACAGATAAATTGACGTCAAATCATGGTATATCTACAGTAGCTTTGATTGGACTGATCATGTCAACATCATACTTTCAAAATCTTAGCTAGCAGTCATCATGAATCAAGTCGACAATCTACTGGCAAATCCTTTTTAATAAACATTGCACAACAAGTTGAAAATCGCAACTTCAACAATGAGTGGTTTGGAAGGAATCAGTGGCATGGGTGTGTGGAGTGGGTGTGTGCTATTCAGTGGAGTGGGTGTGTGGTCCCAATACTGGGTTTAAGGGTCTCTTTCCCAAGCTTAAAATTATAAACATTCAACATTGGCCATGCTGTCAATCCAGCATGATTTCAGCCGCGCTCAAAACAACTGTTAACTCGGAACTGGGAAATCTGACTTCAGTGAGTTCAAGACAACTGTGAACTCGGGGAAAAAACTAGCTCTGACTGGGAAAATATGTTTTGAACGGTCATCCAACTCAGAATTGTAAGTCGGGAACTCTGGCCTCTTTTTAGAGCTACGACCTGAAGATCACTGACGTAATCATGATTCAACCTTGCTTTTTCCCCAAGTTCCCAGTTGTCTTGAAAGCACCATAAATCCAGAGAATGCCAGACTTTGATGACAAAGTTTGATGACAAAATTTGCCCACAAGGGACTGCCGCGCCTCCTTCCTGTTCAAGTGAGCACAGCACAACAAGCAAACCAGATGGCATCATTTTCTTGTTTATTTTAATCTATGGATAGCCAGGGGTACACTCCAAAACTCAGGATCATTTACAAACGAAGCATGTGTTTAGTGAGTCCATCAGATCAGAGGCAGTAGGGATAACCAGGGATGTTCTCTTGATAAGTGTGTGAATTTGACAATTTTCCTGTCCTGCTAAGCATTCAAAATGTAAAGAGTACTTTTAGGTGTCAGGGAAAATCTATGTAATTTTCTTTAGGAATGTAAAAGTAAAAGTAGTCAAAAATATAAATAGTAAAGCACAGATAGATACCCAAAAAAACTACTTATGTAGTACTTTCAAGTATTGTTACTTAAGTACTTTACACCACTGGGCATAAGCTATGGACAACGAACACAATTGCATTTTATCAATGACAATTTGAATGCACAGAGATACCATGACGAGATCATGAGGCCCATTGTCTTGCCATTCATCTGCTGCCAACACTTCATGTTTCAGAATGATAATGCACGGCCCCATGTCACAAGGGTCTATCAGTACATCCTGGTGGGGCAAACCCCCCCCCAAAATTGGGGGATGCATGCCAGCAAATCCACTACACACAACACTAAACAATATATTAATTGCACTATAACGGTGACAAACTGTGCCCACAAACTGTCAAGGCCTACATAAAGCTGTCCCAACAGCAGAGTCCCAACACCTTACCACTAGCAGCGAAACAGTTCATTCAGCCTCATTTACTGCCTTTAAAAAAAACATAGCTGATATATGGCTGACTTGCTTAAACAAATGTTGGTTTCTACTGACAATTGAGATGTGCCAATTGCACTCTCCCTCAAAACTTGAGACATCTGTGGCATTGTGTTGTGTGACAAACCTGCACATTTTAGTGGCCTTTTGCCCAGCACAAGGTGCACCTGTGTAATGATGATGCTGTTTAATCAGCTTCTTGATGTACCACACCTGTCAGGTGGGTTATCTTGGCAACAGAAAAATGTTCACTAACAGGGATGTAAACAAATTTGTGTACAACATTTGAGAGAAATAAGCTTTTTGTGCATATGGAAACTTTTATTTCAGAGTATGAATTATGGGACCAACACTACATGTTGCATTTATGTTTTTGTTCAGTACATGTGAAAGACATACACTGAGTGTACAAAACATTAAGAACACCTGCTCTTTTCATGCCATAGACTGACCAGTGAAAGCTATGATCCCTCATTTATGTCACTTGTTAATTCCACTTCAATCAGTGTAGATGAAGGGTAGGATACAGATTAAAGAAGGATTTTAAAGCCTTAAGACAATTGAGACATGGATTGTGTATGTGTGCCATTCAGAAGGCGAATGGGTAAGACCAAAATATTTAAGTGCCTTTGAACGGTGTATGGTAGTAGGTGCCAGGTGCACCAGTTTGAGCAACTCAGTATTAGGAAGGTGTTCTTAATTTTTTTAATTTAATGGGTTGATTAGATAATGTTTATATATAGTTAACTTTTCAAATAATGTCACACATTGTTTTCTTTCACACTCATAGAGTTCAAATACCCTTATGCATGCTTCTCTATTGCCCTGTCTCTATAAGTCTTTATCCAGACATTCAAATGCAGTTTTGATTGACTGTCGTTGGGGCCGCTTTAGGGAAATCTATTATTATTATTCCTTGTTTATAGAAAAATGTGAATAGAACATTTACATTATTGGTGGATGTACATTGTAGCTGACTGCCATTGATAATGATAATGCAACAAAGATCTTCTTGATCCATAGTCAATGTCTTTACTGTACTTTACTGTACAGTAGGCCTACTTTACTGTAAGGGCCATCTCCAAATTGTCCCCCTGCTGCTCTCTTGCC